CATTCGGGGTGGGCGAGCTTTGATCGAGCTCCTTCCCTCTCGGCCGGATGAGTATCAATCCCTCCGCGATCACGGAGAGTGCCCGAACGACACTGTCGACCGCATCACCGACAGCAACGTGACGGAGCTACACACCTCGGGTCGACGCCAGAGGAGCGATCCCCGTTATGTGGTCATGGCTATCGATGCACGTTTCTTCTCCATGGAAAATGGGGGCATGCATATTACTCGTCAGGGTACATTTGCCTCGCGCGAGAACATCGCGATCGGATACTGGAGATGCGTTTACTTCAAGGAGGACTGCTCCATCATTTACCTGAGGCCTTGGTGCTATCCACCCAACTTCCTCAACTCCGTGAGAGATAACCCGAGGAAATGTCGGGACGAAATGGAGAAGTATCACCAGATCGCCAAGGCGGAACATGTCCGCGAGGTGGTGTCCGTTCCATGCCATAGGTGCATGACGGCTCACCCGGTCGGCGCTCACCTGTGCACCGCCTGCTACCTTCCCATCTTCTATGAGGGCGTCCTGCCCACCGGAGACACGGACGGCGGCCCTCGCACGATAGCGAGTACCAACGGGGTGGTCCCTCCCTGGCTGGCAAAGTACGAGGGCTTCGTCCCCGCTCTGTGGAACAACGCAGATGCCAACGCCATCGGGATGGCCCTCTACTCGCAGAGTCCCGCCGTCGACGCCCGGTCCTTGTTGATGTCTGGGATGCGGCCTCCTAAGTACCTCGACAAAGAGGACGTGGATGGCATTTTCCGAAAGCTTCACGACTCGCTCCGGGACGAGGTTGTTGACGGGAAGTACCGTGATACGGTCGACCACAACGTGGAAGACTGGGTTGCAAAGGCGATCTTGGTAAGAGGTCTTGCCTTCAACGGGAGCTCCGTCTCCGACTTTTTCGAGGAGTATGAAGGGTATGCGGCTGAATGGGGCAGACGCCTAACCACCGCAAACTTCAACGCCAACCGGTGCGGCTTTTACACGTCCTACTACATTCTTGAGGCCCATATCATTGGGCTGAGATCAGGACATCTTTCTCCGATACTCCCCAACGATATGTCTGGGGAGGGATTTAAGTTCCAGATGAGGCTGCTCGCTCAGCACTGCGGGATATTGCAGGCCATGCGGAGAAGGGCCGGATTCGATCCTGCCGCGCGCCTCAAGCGGGCTATGGACAAGATACGGGAAGGCGTTAAGAAGGGGTACGTCTACACCCTCAACGACCTCAGCAGTATGGACGATCTGATCTACCGGACGTCCACCGTTGCTTACGACACCTGCCTGGCTGACCGTCCTCAAACCCAGGATGATATCAAGCAGGAGCTGTCCGACCCTACGCCCCGGAAGTACCGCTTCCGACCTCGCGATCGTTATCGGCCCGGGATACGCCTTACACCAGGCCCCGGCGTGAAGGATGAAGACGAGCCCGACTTTGCTGGATCTGCGGAGGACGAGCTGGGATCGGATGGGTCCTCGTGCGGCGAGGAAGAGAAGTCTGACGACCCTGACGAGCCCATGGACGATGACGAGGAGGAAATCCCTCCCCCTCCGCCGCTGCCCCCGGCTCCTCCTGCGCCACCTGTCCCGGTAGAACCGGAGACTCCCGTGGTGTCGCATGCGGGCGTCAAGCCTGGCGATGCTGTACCAACTCCTCCTCCTCCTCCTCCTCCCGCTCCCATTGCGGCTGACGTTACGACGGCTGAGGATCCTTTTGAGGACGAGGACGCGGCCATCAATACTCGTGTCCCTGACACCGAGTCCGAGCTGGAGGGTGAGTCCGACCAACCCAAGGCCAGGAGGACATCTCATGGTCGGGTCCCCGCGCCCGAAAAAGGGCAGGGGGGCGTTCAGGTCCCGCCTGGCGGGCAACCCAGCTCTAAGAGCATGGCCCAGCCTGCCCGTCCCTCCCCGGTCCCCGCGAGAAGCGGTGTGGAAGGTGGGGAGAGAAGGGGCAGGACCAAGGGTTTCTACACCCAGAAGGATCCTTTTACCGGCGAGGACGCGGCTCCCCGAGTTCGTCTTCGATCGGGCGGTCCCGGAACTCCTGCGTCCCCACCACGGGATGCCACCGGTTCCTTGGGCGGCCGCGGCGGCTATGATCCGCGCGATGACGACAACGACGAGTGGGAGCTTCCCCCGGGTGTGCCTCGGACCACTCGTGCGGCAGATGAGTCGCGGCCCCGCCGAGATGACGATCGGTCGAGGACCGCGCTTGGGGCCCGCGAGGATCGTCGCGGTCCTAAGGGTGAGGGGAAGGGTCGAGGAAAACATCGACCTGGCAAAGGTGGACGCGAGGATCCTGGCCCGCCCCGACAAAGGGATGATCGTGGCAGGGATACCCGCGGAGGCCGACGCGATGATCGCCGACCTCATCCACGTCATGAGGAGACCTCCGAGAGGCGCGGTCCGGGACGAGATGAGCGCCGCGGACGTGATGACCCGGGTGATGACCGTCGCGATCGCCACCGGGACCGGCGCAGGGATGACCGACGTCACCAATCAGATCCCCCTCCGCCTCGCCGACCTCCGGCTGGAGACCACAATAGGGGTGGTGGTGAGGATCGCCGTCGGGATGGAGGAGGTGATCGAGGTGACCGTGGTGGACGCCGGAGAGACGACGTGCCCAGGGACCGGGAAGAACCTGGTTCAGGGTGGTAGGCGGGTACCGCAATCAGCATCCGCCTTAGAAGGGCGAGGATAGTACGTGTGTCGCCGAGAAACGCGACCGCGCCGGTCCCCCTCTCGCCTATGCGGCGCTGCTGGGGGTGATGGTCTCCATTGCCCTGTACCGCTGATCCGGCGTTGCTCGTGTCCCTCCCGCACCGCTGCCGTGCGCGCCGGAGACGGTTCCCCTGGCGATCCTGTGTGAGGCTGAGACCGCACTAGAAGTGCCGGGCCGGCCGTAGCCGGGTATTTTCACACCAATTTCGGAACGTCCTTCTCTTCTGTGATCCCAACTCGTTTACCACTCCAACCACTTCGCGGCGTGCAGTGAGGCGCGGTGATCCAGATAGGATCCCCCTCCGCATGTTGTTGTCCCATGACAATGCATGAACGGCACGAGAGGAATCTTCGTCTGGTTCCTCCATAATGTCTCTGTTCACTCATGTGGCCCACTCGTCAAATAATCCTGTCGCCCCGCTAATTCGGGGTGGTGGCGGGATTTTAACTGGGGCCCAGGTGCTGCCGTTGGCTCACCTCTGAGTTGACACCGGCATTTTTGGTTGGTCCCTTTCGTCGTGAACTCAACTGTCTCGCATCCTTTCTCTTGTCCAGATATCGGATGAGGGGGGTGTGTTTTGTTCACGTGTTGTTTCTTCATATGTCAAAACGGCCGAACGGCCGTTTGGCTCAAGTTTTTACCTCCCGTCAAGTGGGAATAGGACTCACGCTCGTGCGCCATTCACTGGCAGCTTTCTTCGTCCTCGAGCCGAAAAGGGTCGGGGCCGCGGGCGGCTGGGTGTAGGAGGTGCTCGGTGAGTCGCGCTGTTCTACTTGGGCTTGGTATTGAACTTAATCCTCTTCAACTTGATTTCTAACCTCCCCATACTTCTCCATTGTCAACCGTCACTTCCTCAACCCGGTCATCATCCACAGCTTCACCCGAGTTGTGTTTCCGGGTGCTTTGGGTACATCGTGATCTACTTTGTGCTCATTTGCTTCCCTGGGCTACTTCGTGTTCGCCCAAAACCGCAGGTTTGAAAGGGAGTCGATTTCACTACACATCGTTTGTCATTTTTCCCCTCTCGGGCAAAAACATAAATGGAAGGTGATGGGGTCTTTCTGTGACTCGCAGCCCGCAGCCCGCAGCCCAGCCTGGTTGCCTTTTTGACCGGATGTTGAGTGACTTTGCCTGGGGTGACAATTGATGCGAGGAGGGCTGATGGCCTGGTTCCTCAAAGCGACCAGTGTTTGTTTGTTGCTCTCTGGGGTCTCCTCCAAAACTATTTTATTCTGTGGGCAATCGGGATATGGAGCAGAATCTGAAGAGTATGAGAGTATGAGTGTCCCCCAGGTGTGGGCCAAGCTTGATGCGTTTGCTTTATTTTTGTTCTGTTCATTTGTAGAGGGGCGACCGAAGAAAAACAAAAAGCATCAAACATCATTGTTGCAAAAACTTACGGGTCTTGCGTGGAGGGTCTTGCTGGCAGCTTCTCCATGAGACTGAGCTTCTGGACCTTCCGCTCGTTTCGTTTGGATGGGCTTTGCATCGGGCTCTGCCACTACGGATCGGTGGATGCCCGAAGCATCGCGAGACCAGCCGCAAACCATGGTGGATGTTACCTTTCTTGCATTTTGCCAAGGGATGTTAGGACTGAATCACTTTTTGCCAACTAATGAGTTTTCCATTAAACCACTAAAAGTTAAACTTTTATCAGGGGAGCAGAAAGCAACTGAGTTTTTTTGACCACTCGTTCTGGCGTTAGAATGGGAAATCAGCCCCCAGGTCCAAAATGGTCAGGGCTTCAGGGTGTCAATATGTGGACCTATACGTAATTATTTGATGGCTTCATTTGCCTTGTCCGTGCCGAGTGAGACAGTCATGTCCGAAATTGGTGAGTCTCATGTCGTGAAAAGTTCCGGCAGCATGTGGGTATTCCGATGAGCTGAAGAAGTCCATCTCTTTTCATGCTATGTCAACACATGAAGGCATTTGGCCTTGCAAAGGATCTGGAATTCAAGTCGAGTGGGTCAGGCAAAGTTGATTTCTCGGCACCGGAAACTAAGAGTCCGCATCCGGCTGATGTTCTGCGAAGCAAGTTTTGCACGAGTGCCAACGGTTGGTCTTAAGAGACTAGGTCCTCCAGTTGAGAGGTGGGAATAAGGGGGGAACCCGATTTGTTTTCGGTTTTGTCTATCTTAGTAGGGGAATCCTCCCCAAAAAAAGGGGTGAGAAAGGGCACTGGGGGACCTAGTAGTGGTAAGGGATCCACTGGGTATTACCCCCCCATGTTCCCCGAAGGGGTCGCTTTCGGGCCGGGCCTCGCAGGCCAGCTTTACGACAGGCCGGGGGGAGTAGTCGAACTTTGGGGAGGGCAGACGGGGCCTTTCCTTTTTGTGGGTGTTTTTTGTGTGGTTTTTTGGGGGGAAGCAATTCGTCATGGAGCTCGTTGATGGCAGGGTTAGGCAAGTTGGGTCGTTGATTCTTTGTTTTCGCCATTTTTAGGGGCGGCTGCGATGGGCTCCTTTGGGCAAGTAAGCCTATTGTGGTTTATCCGGTTTCCTGGAACCAGTTTTGAACTCTTTTGGGTCATTTGGGCATGGGTCAAAAATTAAACAACTAGGGGACCGCAGGTTTAGTTCTGTTTTCCGTTTACCAGGGTTCCATTTTGGGCACAAATTTATGACCGACAACCATTTTGCATTTTAAGGTTCACTAGATGTAAAGATACCCCGCTGTTTAGGTTGGTGACAACGGTTGTAAGGGAATAGCTGTACCTACAGGCGGAGAGTTGAGCTGGTTTCCTATTTGTCTAGCTTCGCCCTTATATAGTCCCTTGGAGAATATTGATCAGGGTGGTATGTGACTCCCTTTCAGATTGAAGTCTTTGATTTCAGCAGGAGTCCTCAGAGCGGTCTCTGGATACATGGTAACCTCGACAACTACAACTATCTACTAGGTCCCCAGTAGTGCCCTTTTACCTTTTGTTGGGGGGAGGGTTCCCCTGGAGGGAAGCTGATACCGTACCGTCCTTCAGAGCATGGCGACAGTTAAATACCTTCGGCTGGCTTTGTGTCATGTTTTCCAACGCGCTGCTTTCACGACTTCGCATACACGAGACAGTCAGGGAAAGGGCTCGGGCAAAGAAAACCTCACTCCAAGGCCGAGCTGTTGACCAGTGGCGTTTTTTTTCCTTCTGTTTTCTCGGCTGAATAGAGGCCGCCGGGACGGGAAGGGCCACTGGACTCGGGTCAAGTTAAGACCTTTAGTTTCGCCTTGGCCTATGAGTCAAGGCTCCAACCCCAAAAATGAGCCCAGGGTCCTTTTGGCAGAGAAGCCAACCCTGCGACTGGTGCTCCAGCGAACCTCCGTGGCTAGAGCGCACTGCCGATCGAGTACCGGAAGCGGACTCTAAGGAGTCAGACCATGGTAAAATGGAAAGTGTGGTTACTTTGTTTTTGGACCTTCCCGGACTTCAGTCACTTTGTTGGGCTTCCATCTTCTTCCATTTGCTGAAAGGAATGCTTGATCTATGTTATCCTGGTGTTTCGGACTTCTTCCATTGGCTTAAGAATGTTTTTTCAATTTTCGCTTCGTGGTTTTTCCGGGAATCGATTTCACTACTGGGCTTTTTTTTCCAGGGGCTAAGCAAGGGGAATACCATTCCTGGTAAATACAAAGGTTGCTTATTTGTTCTGTGGCCAATTCACCAAGAAAGCGAGCAGCACACTCTGGTTGGTTTAGCAACCAAAAAGGACCTCCCCACCCCCCCTCCGGGATTGGTTGGGTTTTTGGGCAACCCCCAAAAATGCGGGGGTTTCCTCCTGGCGTTGTTTTCAATCCACCAACCAGGTATCCGGAAAAAGGGGCACGCCCATAACATCCATTTGCTATTTTCCCTTGCTGGTTTTAAAGGGAATCTATCACTACTGGACATATCTTTATCTTTTCCAGAGAACGAAAAAGCAAATGGAAGATAAGGCCGGCCGTTTTCCGGAGGCGTCCACTGGCCGTCAGGAAGCTCCTCCGTTTCCTCCGCCCAATGCAGCCTGCGCCGGGCGGAGTGCCGCTTCACCCGCGAGCGAGAGGCTGTGAACTGGGTGTCCGGGCGATGTTGACTCCCCTTTGAGTGGTCCGCTTTTGGAGGGTCCCCCACTCCTACTGGGTTCGATTTAGGGCTGGGGTCAAAACTAATTAGGAGGTTGATGTAAATATTCCCGGCCCCTGACTGACCATGGATAACTTTTCCCATGACGCGGATGGACCAACCCGTCCTAATGTTAACCCCGGATTAACCCCTGGTTGATGAATAGGGGGGTGTCCCCTTCTGGTCGGGATTCATCACTTTTGGAGGGAACACCCCCCAGTAGTGCCCTTTTACCGTTTCTTTTTTGGGTGGGAGGCTTCCCCTACGAAAATAGACTACAGAAAAAAAATCGGGTACCCTTATTCTAACCTCCTCGTAACAAACCCGTCCTACTGTGGATGGACGAAATCCATTTCGCAAGCAGAGGTCTCAGGGGGGCCAACTGCATCACCGCGCTTAGTAAGTGATGGTGGTTGATCAAAATGTGGGGAAGACCACTAAAAATGGCTATTTCCCACTAAAATGGAAAAGTTATCCATGGTCAGTCAGGGGCCAAGAATGTTGATCAACCTCCCAGTGTTGACCCTAGACCTAAATCGAACCAATTAGGATGGTGGGGAAATCACCCTCCAAAAGCGGCCGGAATCCAATCCCTAGGGGACACCCCTAGTAATCAACTAGGGATTTTGTGAATCTGGGATCAACATTACATGATACGGTGCCCTAAATACTGCAAGTAACCAAGTACAAACCATGGTTGTTACAAGCCACTTAGGGCAATGTGTCCTTTCATGGCGGAAGACTGGAATTGGGGACCCGCTCCCACCTTCAGTGAACTTCAGTCGAGGCCCATGGGATGAGAGTGGACAGGCCCGAAGCTTGTTTCGAGCCTCTCAAAAGTCAAAAGGTCACAGAATGTGTCCACCAGCGTATTTCTGCCGCTTTTGGGGGATTCTACCTTTTTCCCATGGTTTCCTGCTCCGGAAAGGCGTGAGTGAACTCGGGAAGTTGTTTTTCTCGGCCTCTTTGAACGCTTCTTGACCAAACCGTATCCCACCCCACAGGTCCCCCAAGACTTCCGAGTCGTGTTTCGGACGCCGCGTTTCGACGGGCCGCGCAGACGGGGTGGTTCTGCGGGGTGGACTTCGGCGCTGTGGACTTTGAATGCGAGGCCCTTGAGGCCTGGAAGTTCGGCGAGCTGAAGGCGCAGGAGATGTTCATAGTTTTTGTAGCGCCCTTTCACCGTTTCTTTTTTGGTTGGGAGGGTTCCCCTACTAAAATAGACCACAAACAAAAAGGTACCCTTATTCCAACCTCTCTACTGGAGGGCCTAGTTGGTGGTGGGATTTGAAATGCGAGTTCTTGTAAAGGGTAAGTGGGACACCCAACCCCCAACCGCCAGACCAACAATGCAAACCACCAATCAGGGTGAAGCTAAAACTATGTGATTGATAGGCCCGGGCCTGCATTTTCCTGCAACATGTCCGGGAGATCAACCCAGCAAAGCTATGAAAGTAAGATGTTTTGGACTTCAACTTCTTAAGCACAGAAAAAGGTGGGCGTTCTTCCTCATAGCCGCCATCATCGCCGGTTGGGTTCCTTCTTCCAGGGCATCCGAGGCCGAGACGGATAGTCCGTGCCTGCTTGGACACGAATAGGGGTCGGTGTTAAGTGGAGCTTTGGGAAACAGCAACTCAACCTGTGTTGCGATTGGGGTGCAGGGAGCGTCCCCCATTTTTTGCGCGTCCCCCCCCATTTTTAAAGCCAAGGGCTGTAAATTCCAAGCGCCCATTTTGGTATGTCACCGCGCGTGGGCTACAACCGATTTCAAGAGGATGCTTGTCTTAGCTGGGCTTAAGGGCGAGCAGGGATGACCATTTTACCCACTTACCAACGAGCGAACAAGCACCTGGATCGCCAGTTGCTGCTTTTTCCCATGAACTTTACCCCAACAACCAGCAACAGTGACTGCAAAAAGCAGCAACTTGGCTATCTAGGCAACATGTAATTTGGCCAGGGCTCTCAAAGTTGCGACCCGCCGAAATCGCCAGGTGTCCTCACGGGAGCGGAGCATTTTGTGCCTTGGCTGCGACTTACCAAGCTTCATGGGCGCAAGTGTTTCGTGTTTTGCTTGTTAGGTTCTGGTGCCTTTTAGTGGGTAGGGCCTAAAGAAAACGAGTTTGTGGAGGACACGGCAGAGGTGGGAAAGATGGAGCTGTATAGTCTAGGATCTACAAGCAGGATGGAAGCAGCGACCTCAAGAGGCTGCGACCTCACTCATGGCCCCGAAAAAAGGAATCCCCCGCGTGCCTTTGCTGGTGGAACGAGGCGCGGCCAGGACCGGCGAGGTGGTGGAAATGTGGTAGGAATTGGGAGCGCTTCCCACCCCCTGCCTGGTCAAATTCAAGCAATGATTTCATACGATGACCATCAACAAGCGTACGGACCGGAGATGTCTTTGTCTAAGATACCTGCAAAACGAGAAACTTATTCAGGACATCCACTTGTTTTTGGTGGGTGGTTGGCAACATAGTTCTTTAGAAGCAGAAATCGTAATTCCCGTAGACATTCCTGCTGGTTTCTATGACTTGCCGGGACCCACGGACCGAATCCAGCCCGGTTCATCCCCTGCGTCTGGCCGGGGACCAATCCCATTGGGATCCATGATTTCTGGTTGGTCGGGCCATGAAACCTCATCAACCCTCAGGTGTCCATGTACTTTCATGATCCCCGCACCCTTAAAAATGGAACTGGGGGAGGGGGGTGACCCCTGGAATTCCATTTATGGTTCCATATTCCCTTTTGTGGGGAAGAGTAAATACATGGAATTGGGGGACCAAAATCCCACCCCCCTCCCATGCCTGGGGGCCTTCTTTGGGCTTCCCTCCCATCCCAAGAGCCCCCCTTCATTGATTCATGCGCAGCGACGACCTTCCCCCAGAAACCTCATACCTCACTCCGCACATCTTCCAGGTCCCCCCAGAAGTGCCCTTTCACCGTTTCTTTTTTGGGGGAGGGTTCCCCTACTAAAAGAGACTACAGAAAAAAAAAGTACCCTTAACCTCTCAAATCTGGACAGCCTAGTCTTTCAATGGCTGGGAAGCCCCGCCTGCCAAGCAAACGAGGTGCCAAATCTTCGAGGACGTGGACAGCTGCGTCGCCGACTTCCGCTCGCCGTGCCGCCGCGACCGCGAGAAGGCCTCGGAGGCCGTCCGCGGCTTCGAGCCGAGCCGCGCGCGGAGAGCGGTGAAACGTAGGGGGCTCTCGCTTGCGGTGAGTTGGCATCCCCCAGAATGGGCTGGGTTCAAAAAGGAGACCAACACTGTATGGCTATTTGGTTGGATCTTTGGGCTTTAGCTGTTTGGGAGGCAGTGGGTTTCGCTCGAACCCACAAAAAGTTAAAACTGTTCCCAGCTTTGAGAAGAGGAGTTGGGAGGATTTTTCTGGGGGAAGAACCTGACTCATCACCCCAACTCGATTCAATCAGTTTGAGTCACACACCACACAGCCAGCCCCATCATGCCCCCTCCCCTCCCCAAAAAAACAAGCGAAAAGAACATAAAGAAAAGCATTCCTCACTTGCCCCAGCTGGGCTTTTGACATTTTGGGCTTCCCATTTTCTGAGACAAGGCTTCAACATTTTACCTGTCATTTCCCGGTCCGTTGGGCAAGTTGTGCATGACTTGGCTATTGGCTGTCAAAGGGCCACCCGGAATGTCATTATGCACCCCTGACCATGCCCCATCCAAGCCAGCATGTAGTATGACACGCAAACTTGCCCATGCTAAGCTTCGCATTTGAATGTATGTATGTATGTATGTATGTATGTATGTATGTATGTATGTATGTATGTATGTACGCAGGGAATGTCATGTAATGTAATGTAATGCAATGTAACGTATTCTAGTGTAATGTAATGTAATGCACCGTAGTTTATGTAATGTATGTATGTAAGTATGTATGTATGTGATTTATGTAATATATGTAATGTAATGCATGTATGTATGTAATGTATGTATGTATGTAATGTAATGTAATGTAATGTAATGCAATATAATGTAATGTAAGGCAATGTAATGTATGTATGTATGTAATGTATGTATGTATGTATGTATGTAATGTATGTATGTATGTATGTATGTAATGTATGTATGTATGTATGTATGTAATGTATGTATGTATGTATGTATGTATGTATGTATGTATGTATGTGTATGTATGTATGTATGTATGTAATGTATGTATGTATGTATGTATGTATGTATGTATGTATGTATGTATGTATGTATGTATGTATGTATGTATGTATGTATGTATGTATGTATGTATGTACATGTATGTATGTATGTAATGTATGTATGTATGTATGTATGTATGTATGTATGTATATGTATGTATGTATGTATGTATGTATGTATGTATGTATGTATGTATGTATGTATGTATGTATGTATGTAATGTATGTATGTATGTATGTATGTATGTATGTATGTATGTATGTATGTATGTATGTATGTATGTATGTATGTATGTATGTATGTATGTATGTATGTATGTATGTATGTATGTATGTATGTATGTATGTATGTATGTATGTATGTATGTATGTATGTATGTATGTATGTATGTATGTATGTATGTATGTATGTATGTATGTATGTATGTATGTATGTATGTATGTATGTATGTATGTATGTATGTATGTATGTATGTATGTATGTATGTATGTATGTATGTATGTATGTATGTATGTATGTATGTATGTATGTATGTATGTATGTATGTATGTATGTATGTATGTATGTATGTATGTATGTATGTATGTATGTATGTATGTATGTATGTATGTATGTATGTATGTATGTATGTATGTATGTATGTATGTATGTATGTATGTATGTATGTATGTATGTATGTATGTATGTATGTATGTATGTATGTATGTATGTATGTATGTATGTATGTATGTATGTATGTATGTATGTATGTATGTATGTATGTATGTATGTATGTATGTATGTATGTATGTATGTATGTATGTATGTATGTATGTATGTATGTATGTATGTATGTATGTATGTATGTATGTATGTATGTATGTATGTATGTATGTATGTATGTATGTATGTATGTAATGTATGTATGTATGTATGTATGTATGTATGTATGTATGTATGTATGTATGTATGTATGTATGTATGTATGTATGTATGTATGTATGTATGTATGTATGTATGTATGTATGTATGTATGTATGTATGTATGTATGTATGTATGTATGTATGTATGTATGTATGTATGTATGTATGTATGTAATGTATGTATGTATGTATGTATGTATGTATGTATGTATGTATGTATGTATGTATGTATGTATGTATGTATGTATGTATGTATGTATGTATGTATGTATGTATGTATGTATGTATGTATGTATGTATGTATGTATGTATGTATGTATGTATGTATGTATGTATGTATGTATGTATGTATGTATGTATGTATGTATGTATGTATGTATGTATGTATGTATGTATGTATGTATGTATGTATGTATGTATGTATGTATGTATGTATGTATGTATGTATGTATGTATGTATGTATGTATGTATGTATGTATGTATGTATGTATGTATGTATGTATGTATGTATGTATGTATGTATGTAATGTATGTATGTATGTATGTATGTATGTATGTATGTATGTATGTATGTATGTATGTATGTATGTATGTATGTATGTATGTATGTATGTATGTATGTATGTATGTATGTATGTATGTATGTATGTATGTATGTATGTATGTATGTATGTATGTAATGTATGTATGTATGTATGTATGTATGTATGTATGTATGTATGTATGTATGTATGTATGTATGTATGTATGTAATGTATGTATGTATGTATGTATGTATGTATGTATGTATGTATGTATGTATGTATGTATGTATGTATGTATGTATGTATGTATGTATGTATGTATGTATGTATGTATGTATGTATGTATGTATGTATGTATGTATGTATGTATGTATGTATGTATGTATGTATGTATGTATGTATGTATGTATGTATGTAATGTATGTATGTATGTATGTATGTAATGTAATGTATGTATGTATGTATGTATGTATGTAATGTATGTATGTATGTATGTATGTATGTATGTATGTATGTATGTATGTATGTATGTATGTATGTATGTATGTATGTATGTATGTATGTATGTAATGTATGTATGTATGTAATGTATGTATGTATGTATGTATGTATGTATGTATGTATGTATGTATGTATGTATGTATGTATGTATGTATGTATGTATGTATGTATGTATGTATGTAATGTATGTATGTATGTAATGTATGTATGTATGTATGTATGTATGTATGTATGCAATGTAATGTAATGTAATGTAATGTAATGTAATGTAATGTATGTATGTAATGTAATGTAATGTATGTATGTAATGTAATGTAATGTAATGTAATGTATGTATGTATGTAATGTAATGAAATGTATGTTTTGGTATGGTATGGTTTGGTATGGTATGTATGTATGTACTGTACTGTACTGTACTGTACTGTATGTATGTATGTATGTATGTATGTATGTATGTATGTATGTATGTATGTATGTATGTAATGTAATGTATGTATGTATGTATGTATGTATGTATGTAATGCATGCATGTATGTAATGCATGTATGATTGTATGTATGTATGTATGTATGTATGTAATGTGTGTATGTATGTATGTGTGTATGTATGTAATGTATGTATGTATGTATGTATGTATGTATGTATGTATGTATGTATGTATGTATGGGATGTATGTATGTATGATATGTATGTATGTATGTTTTTATGTATGTATGTATGTATGTATCGTATGTATGTATGTATGTTTGTTTGTTTCTTTGTTTGTATGTGCGTATGTAGTGTGTGTATGTATGCATGCATGCATGTATGTATGTATGTATGCATGTAATGTATGGTATGGTATGTATGTATGTATATCATACAATGTAATTCAATGGCATGTAATGTATGTATGTATGTAATGTATGTTTGTATGTATGTATGTATGTATGAATTGTATGTATGTAATGTATGTATGTATGTATGCATGTATGTATGTGTGTGTGTCTCCTGTATGTATGCATGTATGCATGCATGCATGCATGTATTGTATGTACGCATGTATGTATGTATGTATGTACGTACGTACATACGTATGTAATGTCTGCCTGTAAGTATATGTGAATGTCATGCATGCCTTTTTTTGCAATGTAATGTAATGTAATGTAATACAATGTAATAGTATGACATGTTACAAAGTATTATGTATGTAATGCATGTATGTAATGTATGTATGTATGTATGTAACGTAATGTAATGTGATAGTGTAATGCATATTTGTATCTATGTGTGTATTTGTGTTCTGTTATGTTTTGTTAGGTTATGTAATGCGATGTAATGTAATGTAATGTATGTATGTACGTACGTACGGTAGCGTAGTGTAATGTAATGTAATGTAACATAATGTTATGTAATGTGTGTATGTTATGTATGCTATGTATGTTATGTATTTCTTGTATGTTATGTATGTATGTAATGCCATGTCATGTCGTGTCATGTCATGTCATGTAATGTAATGTGATGTATGTTATGTGTGTAATGTATATATGTAGTTTATGTCTGTAGCGAAGGGAAGCGTAGTGTAGTGTAGCGTGGTGTAGTGTGGTGCATGTATGTATATATGTATGTATGTACGTAATGTATGTATGTCATGTCATGTCATGTCATGTCATGTCATGTCATGTCATGTCATGTCATGTCATGTCATGTCATGTCATGTATGTATCTTTTTTCTTGCACCCAAAGGGACAGATGTTTACGTAGCATGAGTATGCATGGGCTTACTTCAAGATTGGTGACAATGGCCATGGCCCCCAAAAGAAAAAATATTCCCCCGTCCCCCCACGCGAGCAAAACAGTTCAAGATGTTCTGCGAGGACCTGCCGGCACTTTTCGCCAAGCTCTGCAGCCAGCTGCGGATCTATCACTTCCAGCTGCGGGAGAAGAGGCCGACGTGCAAGAGCCGAGTCGCTCAGGTGTTGCTTATTTTTCAGAGGCCTTCCAGGTGTTGATCTCACAAGCTAAGTGTTTGAAACAAAGTGCACGGGTTGGTCCCAGTGGAAATTTCGGGCAAATGGCATGCGGCATTGGCTTGTTGCTTTTGTTGCAGCCAGCCGCTTACGGCTCCTTTCCGTCCCAGAGGACCTGCGCGATCGGCATGTAGTTTTCAATGAATCTGGATCGACTCTTGAAGCGTCACTTCCTGGACTTCTTTCGGGGCTAGAAATTCCTTGGCGCAAACCCCTTGGCGCAGCCAATCCAGGAAGCGAGGCTTAGCTTCAGTACTTCAGTACTTGCCCAACCCCCCCTAGCCTTTGGAACCATTGGTTTGCGCTTTTGGTCAAATGTTCCAAGAGGTCAGCCTTTGATTGTCACTTGCTTTGGTAGCACCATAGCAAGTGAGTTCGGGGATAAAGTTCGGAGACGTGTAGCATTTTAAGGTGACACAATGTGAAGCTTTTACACTACAACATTGTTAGCACTGCCTACTCGTAGCTCAAAGGCTGAATTTACAAGTCCATGCATGAGCAGGCTGCAACAAAACACTGTTTTTTGTCAGGCCAGGGAGGGACTAGATGTCACAGTTGCTCCCTTTGGGTTGCACCTTGTTTTTTGCTTGCCCAGACAAACAAGATTCTGCCACCTACCTTCATCCTGGTGAAAACCAACTCCGATCCCACCCAATGGCTCTCAGGAAATGAGGGGATCACATCAACCAGCCCGATGCACCACTTTCACGGTGCAATGTACCGGTGGGGAAGGTGAGTACTTGTTTGATTCCATATGTCCCAAACCCCTACCAAATCCCCAACACATCCCACCCCCCTTGAAAATTGGCCATGTGAAGGTTGGGAAGGTGAGTGTAATTTATTAGTTGCATTTCTCCCAAAACCGCACTAAATCCCCAACGCATCCCACCCCCCCTGAAAACCCCTATAAATGGGAAGCCAAACGGAAGCAAAAAGTTGAAAACCAGCGGTCCAACCTCTTAAAAAAAGAGACTCTCCCAGCTCCGCTCCGTTCTCAGATGGCCATGGGGGTGCGAGATCCCCACTAAAATCCCGACTAAAATGGGAGGTGCACCTACCAACCAAAATGGGATCCCAAAACGGTTTTGACCCACGGCCATATGGGTGTTTCGTTCTTCCTCAACCTCAATTTGCTTAAGAATATATGGTTTGTCATTTTCCCCTGTTGGTGTTTTACGGGAACCCATCACTGGATCCCAAAACCAAAACGGCTTTGAAAAGCCCACGGCCAGATGTGTGGAGACCTTGGACGGCTCCGCGATCATCATGGAGCTCCTCAGCCGCGTGGTGGAGGTCCTGGACGCCTTGGCCCCCGGCGGAGTGGAGAGCTGCCCCTACGTGCGAGATCTGGCGGCCCGGCCTTTGGCTAGGTCTCCCAGCTAGGTGCCCAGTGGTTTGGTGATTGAGGAGGGGTTTCCCATCCACAAAACTAGGTCTCCCAGTAGTGCCCTTTTTGACCAACTTGTTTGGTTGGGAGGGTTCCCTACTAAAATAGACCAGAAAAAATCGGGTACCCCTATTCTAACCTCTCAAATCTGGAGGATCTAGTCGGTTTGATGCCAGGGGCCCGTGGTCAAGGGGACCGGGACCCCCAAAATTTTAGGGGTTCAGGGGTTGAGGGTTTGAGGGTTTAGCGTTTGAGGGGTTGAGAAGTCTAGTGCCAGCAAGATAAAGGCCACACCAAGAAATCACGAAGTCAAAAAGAACCCATGACAAAAGGCAATGCAAGACAGCCCTTTTAATGTGGAATCGGTGTGGCAATTGTGTGCTTGACAGTGCCTGATAGATGCAGGATATGGTCACAATTGGGAGATGACGTAGCCAATGAATTGACAAATCATTTTCCGAAAAGCAAATGGAGCCGCTTCTCCTCCCCTTTAAAACGAGGCACCCAACAGGACCTAGGGGTTTTAATTCTCATTGCCAGCGAGTCGGCCTATCCTCAGGGTGGTTGTTCCTTTGGTCCCCCTGTAGAAACGCCCATCAACATGCACCCAGAAACACAAGACCCAACTGGCCTTCCATGTTGGTCCAGGGATTTGGGGCCCATGCCGCGGATGCTTGGGTTGGATTCTTGGCCTGTAACTTGGGGAAATGACCAGTCAAAGTCAACTCAAAGATTGGTGTGCTGTGCGAAAAGCCAACCAGATGTCTTTTAGTTCCAACTCCTGTTTCCTGCTTTTGCCGCGGGAAAGATAACCTTCAGCTCATAGGGCTCTTCAAGCGAGAGTGGAACGTCTTTTGAACAAAAGAGCAGGCAATGAGGCAAAGAATGCATCCTTGAGCTCCAACCAGTTTCTTGTGTGTCTTCCTTTTTTTCCCGTGGCAAAGATCGATCACCTTTGGCTCCTGCGTTTTTTGGTTCACCCACTGCCCCCCAGATGTGCGACACAGACACTCTCGCAGGAGCCATTGGTTGCCTGCGTTTCGAGCCCGAGGTGTGCGACGCGCTGAATGAGGCCCTTGGACCACGAGGAGTCTTCCCCCTCTGCGTGTCCTACCTCAACGCCAGCCCCTTGGAGGACCGGATCGGAGGGGAGTCCACCAGCCTGCTAGCCTGGTGGACCCTCAGACCGTTGGATTCCCACAAACTGACATGGGTTGGTGCAAAAAGGCCGGCTAACCAAGAGGGAAGTCGTTTTTCGGGGTCTGTGCACCAACCCATGTTAGCTGGTTGGAGGGTAGTATGGGTGTTGGAGGTATGGAGGCCATGACACCTTTTTTTTAGGGTGGGCAGTATGTACTTCTTGCTCACTTGCAACCAGAGCGACTTGACCGTTTCCTCTCTTTGGTCCATTTCGAGTCATGGGCCAAGAGGTTAACCTTGTACTTCTGAGTTCTTTGGGCAACTGAGTAGCCAATCCCCAGGCACAGCCCTTATGAAGCGGAATGTGCTATGGGTGTGTCTCAAAAGTTCTGATGGATGAAGCCGATTGAATACTGGGACAAGCCACCAATCCCCATATGTGCCTGGCGTGGAGTTCGTCCATCAACCGTCAATTGTTAGGCTCCCTTTTGAGAAACACCCGAAGCATCTTTTTGGGGTCGCCTCAAAACGGGGGCGGCGCCTCAAACATCGTTGGTTGCCCTTGGCGTTTCCCAGCCAGCCCCTTAGGTTTTTAGTTTGCTTAGGGTTTAGTGGTAGCTTCCATTCTATAGCTAAAAGTTAAACTTTTCACAGGGGATCAGAAAACGGACAGCAACCAGCATTTCCATTTCAACCAGCCCCAAGGCTACCCTTCGCCTCAAAAAAATCCCGCCGCCTCCCGTCCCGAGCGATGTGAGAAACGTCAGAGGACGCCGGGGACTTCTACTTGGAGCTCTCCTTCCACGCGCTCATGGCGCGCCTCGGCCGAGGGTACCCTCCCAATGAACATTACTTTTATTTGCCTAAGAACTTCTTTTTTCTCCCCCTGGGCTTTAAAGGGACACTTCCATTTGCTTAAGAACCCTCCCCACCAATGAACAGAAGGGAGCTGACGTTTCGGGGGTGGCGACCTCCCAATGAACATAACTTCCGTTTGCTTAAGAACCTCTTTACGCTCAGCTTTCCAAGGCGAATCGGCCTTTGAAGGCTTTGGGTTTTGTTATTTATTTTCCCCTGCTGGTTTTAAAGGCAATCTATCACGACTGGACATGGTTTTTTCCTCCATTGGACTTAAGCAAATGGAAGAGAAGGAACCGTTCGACGCTTCTGGGGTGGCGATCCGGCCATTTTCCGTTAGAGGGGCCTTGTGGTCCCAAACATCGAACGGTTCCATGTGAAAAGGGTGGGAAGGTTCCCTCGTTTAACATCCATTTGTTTGTCCTTTGGCTCTCGATGTCGTTCCTCTTTCTTGTTTATGTTAAGGCCAGCAACAGTTACCTTCTTTGGGGGCTCTTTTTCCCATGTGAGTTGTCCTTTTTGACTCTTCGGCGTGTTTGCCCTGGGGAACAGCGCCTCTTGCTGGTTTAAACTTTTTGGACATGCTCGAGCTTAGGGTGGCCTTCGAAAGCTGCCTGCGCGCGTTCTAGCTCGCTCGCCTTGGAACAAAACAAATGACAAAGTTTGAATGATTCAGACGGCAACTTATTCTTGCGCGGTTCCTTGTGTCTGGCCGATTCATGCGACTTTTAAGTTTTTGGGGCTCAGAGGGGATTGATCTGGGTCAATTGTAACGACACACGACCGAATTCACCCCAAATGGTGGTTTATGTGAGGAATATCCCTCCAACCACCGCAAGTTTCAGGCTGGTGAAATATTATAATTCACCTAGATTGATGACCACTCCCAGTTAAATAAAGTTTAATGGTTAGAACGGCGTCGCTTGTATCATGTTTAGTGGGGCGGGGGGGGGGGGGGGGCTGCAAACAACACGGTTTGTTGCTGCCACACCGCTTGTTCGGAAGCAACTGGATCCCTCAAGGGACACCTTTGGGCACTTCAGCACATCACCCAAGTACCAGCTGATTTTGGCACGCATCCCCTACTTTGGTGCATCTTGCTTGGATGTTAGGACTTTAACTTTTTGCCAACTCATGGTTTTTCCATGAAACCACTAAAAGTCAAACTTTTAGCAGGGGAGCAGATTCCGCAACCGAGCCTAGGAGGGTGTTGAACATGTATCCTTCCTTCTTCCGGGCCCCGATTTCCTCGTGCCCCAAATTTATGGGCCTTTTCCCGCCGCATCGAGGCTGCTGCTGGCGCTCTTGTGGGACACGCCCTCGCGGGTCACCGAGACCCCAGAGAAGACCATCATCGAAGCCGAAGGCTTTCAGGCGGTGTTCACCTTGGCCACCGCGCCGCGGCGAAGGTTCTGATTGTTTTGCTCTCCGATTTTCTGGAAACGGGGAACCCCTTTCAAGGCAACTATAAACAAAGGGCGCGCCCCTTTGTTTCCCAAGGAAATGCAGGGCTTGGGTTTCCGACCAAGTTTCGGGCATCGACTTGGTCGACGTTGGCCTTTGGAACCCCCTGTGAATTCCGGAAGTACGGTTGGCTGCCCAAAATCGGCAGGTTTGGACCAGACGAAGGGTTTGGGGTTGAACAAAACAGGATCTTTCCCAGAAGACAAAGGGAGACCCTTCCAAATCGGCGGAACCTTTATGAATTCCCCCAAGCTAGGCAATTTCCCAAGGTTGGCGGCTTTCACCAAAACTGGTCTAATTTTCCTAGGATTGAGGCCCGACAGATATGGAGACGATGTACAATGGTTGAACAAAGGGAAACCAGGCAGATATGTTTAATCTAATGTTGCATTCGGTCCATTGAACATGGACCTAAGTCGAGCGTTGGTTTTCATGGGGGGCAAAAAGCCTTTGGCAGAAGCGAGGAGTGGAACAATGCAGGAGCTCAAAGTAGCCAATCAGTCCCCATGAGCGAAGGCGTTCAATTCTTGGAAGCCCCCCCCCTTCCTGTGGGAAAGTCGCCTACTTTCCGTGTTTGTGGTACGGTAGGTTCTCCAACATCAGTCGGGCTTGGCCATGCCTGGTTCGGCTGCATCAGGCCTTACGTGTTATTTTTTTTGTGTGGGGTATGTCCTGCTACCTGCTAAGCGGGTTCCCTACTTAGTCCTACTTGTCCTGCCGAAGGTATGATGGTCCAATGGTCACCTTCTAGAGAGTCAATGAAAGTTATCTGAAGAGGAGTGGACTTTTAGTGGGTGATGTTGGAACCTTGCAGAAGGCGGAAGTATGCCGGGTGGGTGGCTGCACGATTCGAATTAGGCAAAGCGTCACCTCTTCAAAAAGCACGTAGTACAAGGCAAGGGGGGGATTGCGAGCCCGGAATTCTATTTCAAATGGGCTTAAAAAATCCAGACATAGGATCGGGCGCCTCTGAAAGACAATGTGACTCACATTTAGGATGGCATCCCCAAAAGCGGCCTACTTCCCGGTTTGAGCCCGGACGACCGAACCAATCACTGTCCAGCGCCCGCGAACGAAACCGCAAGCAGAGTATATGCAGAAAGGGCTGGCCAGCTTGGCCCCCATTCTTTTGAAATGTCCACTTCGAGGGATTTCTTTCCGAACAAACATCGTGCAATGGCCAGTTGGACCTTGGGAGCACTCTTTGGACAGGTCATTCAGGTCGTCCGTTCACCTGTTGGTTTTAAGAGGATTCTAGCACTGCTGCCCGCAATATGCAGGGGGTCAACCGTGCTGCGGTTGTCAATCGCCGAACTGGGTCCATTCGAGTGACATCCTGAAATTACCCTGTGAATGGGACACCCCCAAAATGAAAGTCGTTTCACCGGGTGTCCTCCTGGTTTCCCTTTTTCGAACCTCCAAAAATGGCAGTTTCAGCGGACTCCAGCAGGTTGATCCACTTTCGGCCTGGGGAAGTCCAGGGACGGTTTGAGACCCCCTCAAAATGCAGCGACTCATCTGAGGATCTGGTGGCAGGCTTTGAGAACCAGGCACCCGGCGTTTCGAACTTGGCTGAGTGGAGTTGTGCCTTTTGCGTTTGGGGCAAGCCCAAGAGCCCCAATCTCCGTGTGTCCTACAACTTTGGCGGGTGTTTGTGTGTGAGTGTGTTTCATATTCCCACTTGAAGCATGGCCTGAAAGAAAGTGAGTTTCCCTTTGCCGCGATGTTGCGGGAAATTTAGGTGTGCTTCCTGCATGCATGGGAGTCTAGGTGTATGTGTTTCTGTGAATGGTTCGGGTGGGCAGGTGTTTGTTTGGCTCCAGGGTCCCAACAAATAGTGGGCGCACCGCGTCGGGGGCGCCCCGTGGCTTTGAACAGGCTGCAATTCCCAGCGGTTCAGCTTGTCTAACCCAATTGCAAAGGGGTATCTTTGGCCCTCTGTTGGTCCGTTGTTGGTCCCAAAAGTTTCGCAGAGACAGCAAAGAGATGGAAGGGAGGCCGCCATTTTGTGGGGCGCCCGACTTTAGGAGCTCGTGTTAACCTGCATTTAGCTTTGTGCTTGCAAGTGGGAAGTGGGCGAGAGATGGCGTAAGTGAGCGTTGCCGGTGAAAGGATCTCGAATCTCACCTGTGCTCCCTTGAGGACCTGACATGAACGAATCACACTCCTTGCTGCGTGGGGTTGTCTCAAAAGGGTGTCCCAGAATCAAAGGAAGCCATCCATTTTGGAGCTCCCTACTTAGAGACAACCACATTTGTTCAAAAGGTGACTCCCTTTTTGGGTTTGCTTCTAAAGGGGAACCAAACGAACCCCCTTGCCATAGCAAAGGGCCTGATTCCTATTTTGAGAACAGCCCTTGGAAACCTTAGGGTGTCTTCCTGGAGTTCATGAGGAGGTAAGCCTAGATCTTCGATTTCCATGATTTGGTAAATTCGTCGCACAAGTTGTGATCACCTTCTATGTCCAGGTCCTTTGGGGGTGAGCATGCCGGACCCCCCTAAGCCTCCCTTCCCAGACCGTGATTCCCAGCCATCCCCTTAGGATCTTTTGGGTTTTTAGTTAACTTAGCCGTGGGTTTTCCATTCAACCCACTAAACGTGTTCGTCAGTTTGAGCTTCCATTTGCTCAATAATATGTGTCAACTTCCCTTGTTGGTTTTAATGGGCCTCGATTTCACGATTGGACATATTTGCTCATTCTTTCCAGGGGGCGAAACCGCAAATGGAAGCGAAGGAAGCCGGTCTGTAAAAACGGACACACCAAGGGCAGACCCGGTCAAGGTCAAGCCCTCCCCGGTCCCGACAGCCCGCTCCTGGTAGAGCAACGCAAATCCGCGTGAATGTTCATCGCCAGTAGAAACCGGCGTGTGTTGCTCAAAGGGAATCGTGCCAAAATAGACGAACCCCAAACGTGGTGGTTTCATTCTTGGCTTCCCTTTAAACCAACCCTAAAATGGGTACCCCGCCATAGGTGTTCTTTTCGGTTGTTTTGGTAGAAAAATTAGATTCGCCCTAAAAACAGCTCCTATGCCAGGAGCCCTGGGAAGAGCTGGGCCTGGAGCGGCTCTTTCTGGCGCTCCACATCTTGCGCTTAGGTCTGCGATCCACGGAGGCCATGGACCCCGCGGCTCGCATTGGCATAGCGATGGGAGTGGGGGGGGGGGTTGGGGGGTTGGGGGGTTGGGGGGGCGGGGGAACGCTTCCATTTGCTTAAGTTGTTGTTTCTTGTTTTGTTTGGTCCCCCTTGGTTTTAATGGGTTTTATCACTCCTTGAAACAAGTTTTTTATTTTTCCAGGGGGCTGATATGCAAATGGAGCATGGGAATCGGGGGGAGCAATTGGTTTCCTTGAACAATCTATGTGCCATTTCGCAGCCAGTGGGATCATGGGCATGGAGCTAGCGGAACTTCTGTCTGATCGGACCCGCCGGATGAACAGTCAGGTCTGTCGTGTGGAGTTCGAGAATGAGGAGGAATCGGAGGAGGTGGGGGAACGCGGGTGGGGGAGGTGGTTGGCGGTTTGAGATCCAGAAGAAGAAAGCGTTTTTTTTCTCGGCTTGGAAGCAAGGAGTACCCTGAAGGACGTTGGTTCCCTTTTGATCTTTTTCAATCAACTCCAGACAGCAAGCAAGGTTTTCCTTTGGACCAGTCGTGAATTGCTGTTTCACCTGCTGAGACCGGTGGCAGCACTGGTCTGTGGTCACTTTCTTGCACGCCTGTTCCACATAATGTTTTTCTCGATGGTGCTCAGTGGGACAATCTATAGGCACCCTCTTGCAAGCACTCTGTGGAATTGGGTGCAAGGCAGATCTTAAGATGAGCCTTTTGCATGGTTGTGTACTTCTAACGAGTCGTTTTTCCTGCGCTGTCCATGGTTTTTGGATGTTATTGGCCCAAATGGTACCCTCGTCCTGTTTTCGTTGCTGGGATTCTCCACTAAAAAATGTGTTTCTCAACCGGTTCCCTAATCAGAACAACTGGTTTCCTTTTCAACTTTCCCTTCACCAAATTGGGGTCCACAATTTTGAGAACCCCCCCAAAAAAAAATAGTTTCAACTTTCAACAGGCCCCCCCCCCGGGGCATTTTTCACCAGGGCCGGGGATTTGAACCGGAAGGGGATTCCCAAATAAAAGAAATCCAGTCGGGAATTGTTTTGCCTGGGGTCATTCCAACTCATTTCCAGCCTATCGAACCAGCAAGGTAAACACCCCCAGATTAACATGAAACTCACCATGTGCTTTAGGAATGAGAAATGGAATGACCCCTATACTCACTTCCTGAATTGACTGTGTACTTTTCGGGAAGACGCTTCTCTTTTGTGGCTTTTGGCCAACCCACTCAGGAGGTGAGTGTAAACCATCCAACTGGTGGCATAGGTTTCCTTTTTGGTTGATTTGGTTGAACGATAGAAGGCGATTCCTGGCTTACCTGGTGGTTCAATCAACTACCAGGGAAACCCATCTATTTTCAACCACACCTATGACTTTGTCCCCTACACTCGCTTCCTCAATTGACCGTATACTTTTTGGGAAGACGGCCAACCCACGTAGGAAGCGAGTATAAACCATCCAACTGGTGGTCTCCTTTCTTCGGGGACCCTTTGGGTTTCTTCCCGGCGGCGCCCCCACCCGATCCACAAGGATACGCCGGCGGTGGCGCAGCTCGCGCGGAGGGCCCTCCAGGCAGGCAGCCGGTGCGCGTTGCGCTTGGCGTTGACCGATTTCCGGGTTGCATTTGGGGGGCCCAAAGGAAACACGAGGAAGTATGTGTCTTAGAGGGGGTAATGTTTGGTTGTTTTTTTCTTTTTCCGTATCCATTTTGAGAAACACTGGCTTTAACGGCGCACTTGCCAGCGAATGGTCCAAAGTCAAGGTTCCACAGGGTGACTACCCTTTATTTCCAGTTCCTTTGGGCAAGTGAGAAGGGGAACCAAAGGAAACAACACATGTTAGGTGTCCATTGGAGAAAATACAGAAAATTGGCCCGTTGGGAACCAAAGAGCGGAGATGTATGTGTTGGTTTGGCTCGAACAATTGATCTGCTGCTGCTAGCGGGTTCAGGGACAGGAGCGAGAAAATGCGAGCAGCGCCCAAACCCATTCAGCAATTTTAGGAGGTTCCACCTGGCTTGAGGGTGATGCTCACGCTCATAGCATGTACTGCTCGCTTCAACCGTTTCTTACGAACTTCTTGGAGATCATTTTTGTAATCCGAAACGTGACCAACCCAAAAGCGAACCTGCGTCGGAACCAAAAGTCATTGCGCCAAACACTCATCGTTCCACTCCCTGGATTCGGGATGTAAGGCGATTGAAAACCTTGACCATGTTGGTAGAACCAGAAGTCCATTGGTTTGAACAAATCGGGGCCACCCAACAATCTTTTTTTTGTGGGCTCTTGGGAGAATGGTCCATCCCCGACTGGCTTCAGGGCCGGCCTGCAAGAAAGGGGACTTGAAGGCCACACAACCTTCAGGTTGCTCTAGGTTCCCAAAGCCGTGTTAGACTAGGTCGGTAGATTCAACATATAAACCTACAATCCCATGGGGATTGTCTCAAACTTGTTTGGCCCACCAAAACAAAACACAACCAACACATTTTGGGTTTTGGCCATTACTTATTGGCCTTCCAGCATGCATGTCAGTTTCTTTTTGGCCTTCCTACTGGAATCTATCACTACTGGAGATATGTTATGTTTCCAGGGGGCTAAAGCAGATGGAAGCAATTAAAACCCGGATAGAGGGTTAGAAAGGGATGATCCCAGCCAGAATTAGGTGCCGCCTTTCCGCCTTTCAATTTCCTTAGATGAATTTGGGTAGCCAATTTCAATATGGATGAATGGAGGGTGAACCGGTTGGTTTCCTTTTGGCCTTGGCCCCCCCCACCCCATGGGCCCCCTCCACGCGAATTCGCGTCGAGGTCTTGTCGCAGCCGGCGGCTCCGGAGCAGCGCACCGTGGTGCTGCACGCGCTGCCCGCGGCGGTGAGGCTCCTCGGAGCGCTGCTGCAGGCGAGATGGCGAGAGGAGATGGGCTAAGCGGAACCAGGGCTTGTGCATTTTTTGGATATACTAGGTTCCCCAACTAGGTGCCCTGTTACCGCTTCTTTTTTGGTTGGGAGGGTTTTCCTACCAAAATAGACCAAGCAACCCCCCATGCCACCTCCCACATAGAACCACTGGGTTTCCAAGCCACCCCCATGCCACCCCTCACACAGAATTACTGGGTTTCCAAGCCAAGCAAGCCACCCCCCCCACACAGAACCACACAGAACCAGGTTTCCAAGCCACCCCATGCCACCTTCCCACAGTCGATTTCCCGGGCGTTTCCTCTGGCGCCGCCGTTCGCGCCAGGTGCCGCCTCTGGCGCGGTCCTTGGACTTCTTCGAGCTGAGCGGCGCCTTGCACCGCGCCCTGCAGCGCCGGCCCCTGACGCTGGCGCTCACCGCGGCCTTTCGGGAGATGGCGCCTTGGGTCATGCGGGACGCCTGGGGATGCGGCGGTCCCCGGGGGGGGGGGACGAGCCACGTGGAAGCGGCCGAGTTGTAGCGAGCTGGGGGTTTTTCAGGAGCGAAAGCCGTGAGAGAGGTCCCTTTACTTGAAGATCCCTGAATTCAGCTTTTTGGGACTGTGTCAAAGTTTGCAGAATTCTAGGGGTTGATTCCCCATTATTTTCAAGCATCGTTCTTTTCAACAGCCAGCAATTTTCCCTGGGTTTGCGGAGGCTTTTCTAGAAAGAAGGATCTCTGGAAAGAATTGGGAAGGTTCCTCTGAAAAAAATCCATCCGCTCGAAACCCCAAGCAAGTGATCGCCTTGTACCTCTGTGTCCTCAAAGGACAACTGAGATAGGCTGCGCCTTTACACTACTATCACTACTGCAAAGTTTGGGGATGTCGGTCTAAAATGGACCCACTTTGAACCGTGCTAACGCAGAGTGTTTTTTCACAGTAGGCCCATATTGACCCCACTTGCAACTGCATTCCATACAGACATGTAACATGTGCGCAATTAAATTTGCTTGTATGTACACATATGCATGCACATCCACAATACTTCTAGATGTCTATACATCATTATCTATATAATGATAGATCTCTATAGCGTCTTGAGATGCTGTGAAAGTTGCCCCCAAACCAAACACGGAATGTTGTCAACTCCCCCGCCAGTTCAGGCTTCCCACGACAAGGGCTAACGTCATGCATTTACAGGATTCTCTAGGGTGCACCGCTGCCTCATTTTCAGGAAGCATAGCTCTCTGTTTTTGGCTACACTGCCTATGTTCATTCAAAAAGTATTTTTAAACAAGCAAAGGGACACGCCCTAACTAGTGCCCTTTTCACCCTTTTTTGGGGGAGGGTTCCCCCCAAAAAATAGACAGAACAAAAAGGGTACCAACTTATTCTAACCTCTCTACTGGAGGACCTAGCTAATTTCTCCAGGTTGTCCAAAGGAGCCGCACATTCTTCCCCTGGCCGCGCCCCGAGGTCTTGCGGGACAGGCCAAGGCGATGGTTCAGCATGGGCCCAGAGGCGAAGCAGGTCCGGAGGGACTTCTTCAACAGCTCCTCCGATCGAATCGGCAAAAACTTTTGCTTCATCTTGGTGGCTCCCGGCCATCCGAGTCTCCTCTGCTTTTCTTGCCTTTTCCAGTGGTTTAGTGGGGGTTTCCGTATTTAACCCACTAAAAGTGAAACGTTTAGCAGGGGATCTGAAGGCAGCCCAGTTCGATAAAGGGCCTGACAAGTTGGTTTCCCGTTGGCTCCTGTTGGCTTCCTGCTGGTTTTCCCTTTAAAACCAGGCCATTTGGTAACGGGTCTTTGGATTTTGGACTGCCCGGAGGCGATGTTGCAGATGATTAGGGCGACTTTTGGTAACGGACCGTTGGACTGAGCGCAAGACTCACTTCCTGCGTTCATGAACTTTAAGCTTTTTGGGGTTGGACCATTTTAGGGGTAAATATAAAGTTTGACAACTTTTTTGGGCCATCCACCCAGCCAGTGAGAAAAAGTTGAACTTTTGCAGAGGGTTCAACAGCAACCGAGCTAAGACGTTTTAGTCCTTCCTGCCCCCTAAGACCGAAAAGCAAAAGGTGGAAGGCTGCCACGCGAGTGCCAGGCGGCCCCCACGAGGGTTGTTTGTTGCAATCATGCGGTTTCAGTTTGATTATGCAAAAGCCCCGCGTTTGCCATGGAACTTTGTATTTTGTTAAGTCAAGGTTCCAATTGGGCAAGGAGGTATATCCGTGGCTTGGGGGGACACTGAAGCTAGAGTCGAGCACTCCCTACTTCTCCGCACTCGGTTTGCGAGGGTCGACATGCACCCTGGATGGCTGAGATGCAATTAGCGCCTGCAGCTTCTGTCAAATTGGGCTTCCCGTTAGACTGATCTTTATAGCAACCACAAAAAGGCGGCCCCCCTTCGGTTGGCAACCAAAGGCGAACCACCATATTTTTTGGCGGGTCCTCCAAAAAAGACGCACCCATGTTGGAGGGAGGGCCGCTGAATCATTTCATCGCGATTGGAACCCCTTGCCTCCTTTCCGAGGCTTAGATAGCGAGAACGTGCTGAACGAGCTCGCGCCTCGCGCAGCATTAGCCGCGGGTTCAACCAACCGAAACCTCAAACGGGCGATTTTCTCAAAGGACTCGCACCCCTAAAATGGGTCAATTTCCTTATATTGGTGAAGCTCCCATGTGAAGGAATGGGTTGTGGTGTTCCTTCTGGGTTCCTTTTCTTCCAATGTGAAAGGGTGCCAAGCGAACAAGAACAGCACACAGATGGTGGATTTCAATTGAAGTTTGGCCAACATGTCCTGATTCTGTATGATCCAGGGTTTCGTGACCTGGCAGTACGCCCGACATTTCCCACACAAACTTAGCGATGGGCCCTAATTTCCCATATCCTTTTGGCCAGAGCAGGTAAGTTTGACGATGGTTCATATTTACCCTCCCACGAACAGATATTTCAGCCCATAGTTGTGGATTTTCCGCAGTGGAAACCAACAGGGCAGGGGTATTTCTGTAGTTGTGCATAGGTGTCCTTTTTGGTTGTTTTTCTCCAAACAAATGATGGCGATTCCTGGTTTACCTGGTGGTTTAATATCATCTACCAGGGAAACCCATCTATTTCCCCTAAAAGGACACCTGTGTATTTGTGGTGTTCCGGAGCCCCTTCCCAGGCTGCTGCCGCCACGGAGCGAGTGGAGCACTTGCTTCGACTGCTGCAGGAGAAGCGGACTGGGCCCGGGGCGAGCTATGAGCCCTGCCGGCAGGGGATGAAGGACTGCTGGGGGGGAGGAGGTGAGAGCGACGAGAACGCAAGGCATCCTGGAAACGGACTTCTTTCATCTGCTGAAAGGAATGCTTTTTGACCATGTTGAAAGTTATCCATTTAACTTGTCAAAATATGTGTTTAATCTTTCCAGGGGGCGAAAAAGCGAATGGAGAAAGGGGCGTGAGAGGATGAGTTGGCTGCTGTTGCTGCTCTTGTTGCCGTTGCTGTAGTGAACATGGGGTTCCCAAAATGGGCGTTTTCCTGCATGTAGTTCCTTCAGCCTCGCATCTGGCAGGGCTCAATGGGTGCCTCGTCACGTAGGGTTGGCTTCCCTTTATCTTCCTCTCTGTCCCCCAGAAAGGCCAAAATCGGGACCCGGCCGCACGGGGGAGTGAGTTCGACTCCCAGAACGCGCTGACTATTCATTTTCAGCTTCGCACCAAAGAATTGCAAAACGCTCTCAACGGATTTCTTTTCAAGACCAGTCTCCGAGTTTGTGAAGCATCATGAACCAGCCATAGGCTTGGGGAAACTGTGTGACTTACCACATTCCAACCACACTCTCCGATTCTCAGAAAGAAACATGCGGGGAGGAGGCTTCCTATTATTCTCACAAAACGTAGGGTGTGTGTCCTGAGTTCCTCATTTTCTTTAGAGCAATCGCAGTTGTTAACGTGGGGACGTGTTAGAGGGTACCCATTTTTTCTGGGCGGTTTGCCTGCTGGTGCCCCGAAGGAAATGAGGGAATGAACCCAGGGATTCCCTTGGACGGTTTTTTCTTGGGGTCATTCCAATTCTCATTTGCCGCCGAGAACGCACCAGCAAGTTTAGAGGGACAACAATAATATGTTGCGTTATGTTTATTTGTTTTATGTGTCTTTCTTTGTTTTGTTGTTTAAAATAGGCTAAACAAACAAACAACAAACATTGCCTTTAAGAAAAAAACACCCGATGCACACTGCTCGGCTCTCGTCCAAAGCCTTTTGCCGCAGTTTTGTTCCGCGAGGACATGGCAGTGCAGAGCCTGGAGGCGGGACGGTTACATATGGGCGTGTCTTTTTCAGGGGGCCCCCCAAAAAAAAGATTAATAATAATAAATCAACAACAGCAACCAAAACAAACAAACAACTGGTTGGCTTCCTTTTGGTTTCCTGGCGTGTGGGTTTGTTCGTGTTGGAGTTGCTACTCTGAGGCAAACCCATATTTCCTGTTATTCCTTAGGAAGGCGTCTTTTTTCAATCTCAACCGGGCGGGTAAAGCAGGGATCCTTATACGTCCCCTTGAAGGGTGGTTGTAAACATCTCCTTTTGGCCCCAACAGAAAGTGAGCTTCCTTGTGGGGTGATGCTGAAAGGGGAAAATTGTTGGCATTTTAAGATATATTGGGCCAGGATGCGGGTAAGTGAAGGTATGGGTGGCTCGTCAACTTTTTGAGGTTGGTTCACAAGGGGAACTAACACTTTGGTGCATTTTGCTTGGATGTTAGGACTTCAACTTTTTGCCAACTATTGTGTTTTCCGAATTAAACCTCTAAAAGTTAAACTTTTAGCAAAAGAGCAGAAAGCAACCGAGAAAAGGAAAACCACCACTGTGGGGGGGGGGGTCGCCTAAAAAAGACACACCCCAAGCATCATCCCACAGGCCTCCGACCTCACAGGACGTCAGACCACGGAAATCTGGGCAGTTTGTCATGGCCGCAGCCGGACGTGCGTGTACGTTTCTCCGAGTTTGCCCCAGTCACCTTGTTTTATAGGGTAAACCAGAAGGAAACACCACCAGTTTTTTGGGCCAGGCCAACTCGACACATACCCACAGTTGGTGGAAAACCAAACCGGCATCTGGTTGGTTCCCTTTCAACCATAGCAAGCTACCCCGAGATTGGCTGGTGCTTGTGGCTTCGGGGATGGAGTCTTGGGAATGGTGGCCTCCCATGTTGCCATTGAACCCATCGTAGGGTACCTTGATGAAAGTTGTCTTTCAGGACCCCTTACCCCTTCCCAGTCCAGGTTTCCTGTTAGTTAGTGGGGGGTTAATGTTTAAGAAGGGGTACAAGAGGAAACCCTTCAGGTCCAGCTTTGCTTTGAGTCTTGAAACGCACATGTCACAACAAAAATGCCGCGGGTCGCCCAATCCAAATGCAGACAATTCCTCCCCCGGTTCTGTCCGTTCCGTGTGTATTGCCGCGGTGCTTTGGTAAACCCGGAAGAAGGTGGAACCTTTTGGGTCCTTGTTCCAGACAAGCAAGCTGACAGGCCTTTCGGCATGGAGATGGGTCAACGTTTGACATTTCACATGTGTGCCATGCACTAAAATGATGGCATGGATTAAGACCCAGGTTCATGTCCCTTGCAGATTAGCATGCGCTCCCATTTTTTTGAAGGAGTCTTTCATTTGTTGCTTGGGGGGGGGCTGTTTTGGGTGCCATGTTGATTTGCAGGGGAGTGCCCTCCCTCCCACTAACATACAGCCACAAGGGATTTCCTGTTAGGCGCCACGTTAGTGGGAGGTAGGGCATTTGGGGGAACACAGGAATCGGGAACCAACAGCTTGTCTAAATCAGCCAGACCACTTCGTTTTTGTGGTCTGGCCCTTTCATTCTCTCGCTGGTGCTCAGCAGGGAATGAGGGAATGACCCCGAAAAATCATCCCTTGCAAGGGAATCTCACCAGCAAGTTCTTTTTGCGGGCTGCCAACAGTTCTCCTGTAATTTAAGGAGCCGCCCCCAAATAGGTTTCCTTTCTGGTTTGCCTGTTTAAAGCATCCCCTTGATCGGTACCCTACAGAAAGACACTCCGGATCGAGTTCCGTTTTGGACTTGATCGTGACTTTTAAGGGGTTGGACCAGTTTAGTGAGGAACAGCCCAGTTTGGACTTTTTACTGTTTTTTTTCCGGGTTTGGACCATTTTAGTGGGAAACAAGAAGTTGGGTTGCTTGTTTTGGCCCATCCGCATCAGATTTGAGTTAAAGTTCTCTTGGGCATGGGCCAAAGCCATCAGGAAGCAGTGGAAATTGGCAGCTACTTCGACAACGTGGAGGCCACGGTGGTGGCCGTTTACGGCAAGGCCTCTGTGGTGGAGGCACCAGCAGTGGGGGGGGTGGCAGGTGACCACTGGCAGGGCAGGTTCATGGCAACCGATCTGAGGGCACGACTGGATCACTGTGATGTTTGTTGCTTGGGGATCATTTGTTTATTGCAGGTTTGGTATGACAGCAACATGCCGCCGATTTATCTGAACTCATGGAACCGAGTGGGTCGTATGGCAGAGAGGTGGTACTCATTTGTAGGCTGGCTTTATTTGGATGACCTTCTGCATTGGGAAGATTGGCCCCTGCCAAGGGAGCCGCCCTTCTCGGACGCCTCCCAAATGCTATTAAATGAACACTAACATTGACAGTGTCTTTGTGCCTCGTGCAGCCATGAAGTCTAAGAGTTGGACAGCCCTCAATAGTTGTTGGTGGACATACATCTAAATGTCCAGGGTCCCTATCTAAAATGCATGCGCCTAAAGTTTTCAGATATCCCCGGCATGATGTCCATCATAGGGTTTTTTTACTGTGGATGGACGACATTTTTGCACCTCAGAAGCCCTGGAATGAGTCGGTTCCCCTGTAACTTCCCAAGGCGCACTGGCTTCCCATGGTTTCAATCTAGTGCGCCCATCCACAGCAAAGTTCCATGCTGAGATGGATGAACACCACCTGCCACAAAACACCCCATCCGCGTTGCCAGCGACTTTCGGAGGAGATGGCCGGGCTCAAAGAGCTCCGTGAATCCCTTCCTGACCGGCCGGCGGTGTCCTCCTTGGAACAGATGCGCCACTCGGATGGATTCGCGTCCCAAAGTGATCCGAATGACGGCAGCCACCACGGGACACCCCCAACAAACAGGCACCAGGGCTGCATTGAACCAGATTTTGCCATGCTGCACGCCTTTCCCCGGGCTATCGGATTTGCGTCTTGTGGATTTGCCCAGCCGAATAGAGTCACAGCTTGGCATTCCTGGCAAATGAGCTGTGTGCGATGTTGGATTTATCCCTAGGGCAGCTTCCGCGCAGCCACAAAAAGCCTCGCCTTGCTCCTTCCAAGAGGTTTGCCCATCCAAGAGGCGTAATGACGCAATGTAGAGCTTTCCCCCGCGCATTCCCCAAATGAGAGGGTGCTTTTTGACAACCACAGCCATATGGGGTTGGAAGGTATTCTTGGGTTTGGCTTTGGCAGCGGCTTTGGGTGGATGGGAGGTGCCTTTTGAGCCCAAATCAGGCGAAACCGGCTCGCTTTCTGTTTTCGATTTGTCCCGTTTTGGTGGAAGGGGTACTGAGGCTCCGTAGTTAGGCAGGGTTCTTCATATTTCCCCTGTCTCTTTTTTAGAAGACTCGTTGTGCTAATTTCCCTCCCACAGACTAACATGGAAAAGCGGCACACTTCCACGTTAGTCGGTGGGAAGGTAAGATCTTGATTGCTGTAGGGTTGGATCTTTAGACTTTAACTTTTTGGGAAACAAAGGTGTTTTCCACTACACCCCCAAAAAGTTAGACTTTTTGCAGGGCGTCAACAGCAACCAAGTGATGAGTTTCCTTCCGGCGGGTGTGATGGTTACAGGAAACTTTTGTTTGAGCCCTAAGAGCAGCTCGAAGGTTCGTACCACATGGACCACACAGACACCACTTTAGGGGACCACTTCTCTGTTGCCCAAAGCCAACCTTTTGCCCTTTTAGTTTCTCCTTTTTGGTCTAGTTTTAGCCATGGCCCCAAGAGGTTGAACCTTTTGTTTCTGGGTCCTTTGGGCAAGTGAGACTTTTTGATTTCAGGGGGTAACCCTCAGAACAGGACGAGCCTGTATGCTTGCATCTTCTGATTTGTATCTTATATGGTCTTTCATTGCCAGGGGGCGAATAAAACGCAAGAATGGGGGCTACTAGTTTGAGAATCCCGCTGGACCCCACCTCAAGGGGGTACCCTCCCACAGACGAACCCTGACGTTCGCGAACGACCCAGGACCGGCACGTCGAACGGTTCCATGGGAAAAAGGTGGGAGGGTACCCTAAAAGGACGAGCAGACCGTGGATGGACAAACTCCTGCACCACTTTCTGAAACCATGCGAAGCCATTGCTTGTCGGTATTTACAGGCTAAGAAGCCCTGGAATGATGGCCCCCCTGTAAATGCCAACAATCACTGGCTTCTCATTGCACTGGTGCAGGAGTTCGTCCATCCACAGTAATGTTGACCCAGGATTAATGAACCCGTACCATTATTTGGGGGGTGTTCCCTCCAAAAGTGGTCTGCCCCCCAATCAAAATCAACCAAGGGTTTATGAATCCGGGGTGAACATAATGTCATCCTCACAGTAGGGGTCATTCCCTCCATGATGAGTTTCATGTTAATCCGGGGATGTTTATCTTGCGATAGGCTGGAAATGGCCCATCTTCAGGCTGTTCGCGACGCTTTCTTTCGTCGGAACGAAACCGCAGGTCAACACCTTCAACGCTGCTTCCCGGTGCCCAACTTCTTCCACTGAGGAGTTGCAACCGATGGTCATCAGCTAGCCATGCGCTTGCAAGCGAACGAGCAAGCTTGTTGGGTTCCTCCGCAAACGGCAAGATGATCTCACTCCCGCGTCTTGTGGGTTGCCAGCTTGCTCGGTAGCTAGACTCAGTTGTTCAAAGCCGACCTCTTGACCTTTTGGTTTTCCTATTTTGGTCCAAAAGAAAATCATGGCCACAACAGCTTATCCTTTTGCTTCTGGGTCCCCAAGGGGCAACTGAGCTTAGGTCGGGGGGATTTACCAGGCTACAGGCGTTTTCCCGGATCTGGGACCCCCCGCTCCCCCAGAGTCGCCAAGAACGACCCGCAGTTAAGCTCCCAAAGCAAGCGGTTCCCAGTTCCCAGTTCCCAGTTCCCACTCACGACGAACCACATTTCTCCGGTTGCTTGGCAAGCAACAGCAAGCGACTGAGCGACGCTGGTTGCTGCCAAGACTGATTCAGCCGTGTGCTTTGTTGGAATGATAGGAGGGCAAGCCCAGTTTTTGAGTGAGATTCTTTCTGGCTGACGTTTACAGCGCGTTGTCCGGGCATGAAACAAATCTAAAAGACCGTGTTTGCAGGAAACAAGCGGTTTGCAGACTGGCCGTGGCCAATCCGCTTGGGTCAGAAGCTTGAAAAGGCTTGCCCAATCTTAGCGGTTTCTGCCAGGACCTCCTCATGGTGACGTGGAATTCGCGGGCGCGCCTTTTTTTCCGTTTTTGCCGCCCCATGCGTGCCATGGTCAAAGCTCAGCGGATGCATGTCACCCCAGTAGCCACTAGTGGCTAGCAGCCGCATGTCAAAACCCTCGCATGGCTCGCATTCTAGCTCTCATCAATATGGGTTGTCAGAATACGAGCAACAAGATGTTTTCCTTTGGGTGACCCTTTGAACACCCAAGGAGGGTACCCGCTAAACAGACGAGCCACCCATATTGAGGCTTGGGAGGAGTCGAGGACGCTGACCATGGCCAATTCATAAGGCAACTGGACTCCATGGATGCAATCGGCAAATCACCGCCTATATATATAATATAGAAACATTTCTATATGGCAGATATGCATATATATATATATAATACACATACACACGCACACCCACATATATATATATATATATATTTATGGATAGAACATGTGCCACCGTATGTACACGTAGCATTTATATGCCCAATTTTTGGGCAAACTCGCCACATAAAGGAGAGTTGCAGCGCCTTTGGGTGCCTGTCTGAGGTGTGTCTGTGTTGATGGCATGAGTGCGCCCCGTGTTTTGGGGGGTGCGTTCAAACTGAAACCAGAAGCGCATTGGGTCCAAAAAAAGACATCCCTCCAAATTATATGTGGCTACATTGTTTCTTCTCATTTGTTTATAGTCAAGAAGGTCACTTTACATGGATCCCCTGTTTTCAGCTTGTCTCACATGCACCCTAAACCCCCATGAAAAGGCTACCCTTTGGCTAGAGCGCAGAAGAAAGCACCAGTGGTTCCAAGGTTTTCTCACGGCTTCATTTGCCAACTGAGTGGAGGCTTCGTCTTCGGGTGATGAGAATGGAAACGACCCGGTATAAAAAATGATTGAGAACCCTGTCCATCCACTGGCCCCAGTACTGGTAGCTTGCCAAAAGGAGCACTTTGCAGAAGGGTGTGGTGTGGTAAATCGCTTACAACGGCAGCACAAAACCAACAAGAAGTGGTGCAGGGTATCCAAGTATCCTTGTTCACTTTCCCGCCCCTTTTGTGCAGAAAACCGGGGCATGTGCAGAATCCGTGTTTCGCACAGGGAATGACTGACCTCCTGCTGCTCTTTGTTTGGATCCGGGTCCCGATACCCATTTCGGAGTCGCAGTTGCCTCTCGCCCGTTCGCATTGGTTTGCCCGAAAGCGGGCTCTCCGATTCCTTCAAACGAAGGAAATCCTTGGCCTCTCCCTTCGCAAGCTTGGAACGGCGCAAGCGTCCCGGATAGGGATTTCAACAGGACGATGGCTACTTCCCTTCCATCGCATGCAGGGTCTGAAAAACATATTTCGGGCTACACCAGGGGTAGTCCAGGAAGAACCCTGAAATTTTCGCAGCAAGGAACATGCAAAGAACAGGGCGGATCAGGTGAAAGAGGAACAGAACTTTGGAGCCATCAGGCCCATGGCAGCCATCCAGAAACATGGCTCTGCCCCTCAAGACCTCCAAAAGGGGCGAGAAGAAACGCTGAAAGGTCTTACGGTGGATGGACGAAACCCATTTGGCACCTAAGAAACCCTGGAATGATTCGATTCCTCTGCACATACCAACAAACAATGGCTTTCACTGGTTTCAATTTGGCGCAGGATTGCGTCAATCCACAGTATGGGGCTCCATTGGTTACCTTTTAACCGAAATGGGGGTGTGAGCCTTTGACCGCACGATCAAGTTGAAACCAATACATTCCAGGCCTGAAATTCAGGGGAGCGGATGCGCGTGGGCTGAAGCAGGCCCCTTGGGCGAACATCTGAGCAGATTTGCCGAACCAACCCTCGGCTCTGAACGGTATGGCTACAATGCGGCCATGCATATAACTTATCACCAAGGGAGGGGACTTGTAGCCATGGCAAGAGGGTTGCAACCACGGTTGGGAACTCTTCAAGTCAGAGGCCCTGGAAATATGTGCCTAAAAACCAGAAAAAGACTCAACGTTATTCGGCAAGTCGTTGGGCAACATGATTTTGCCACACTGGTGGCCGAATTCGGAGCAGTCGCGAACCAAAAGCCGGTGCGATTTCCGGTCAGGATGACTCTTGGCCGGGTTGGGAGGGAGCGCCCTTGTTGATATTTCGCCTTGACTTGGCGAAAACGAGTAACTTCCTTGTTCACCCCACACCATCCCAACCCCTGAAAACAGCTGGCTTCCGAAAATGCTTGAACCGATATGGCGTTGCATTTGGGTTCCAAAGGGTTGGGATTTTTCGATGAGTTCTTGGGCTAACGCGTAACGACGCCGCGGACGCCGGCCCCTTCAAAAGGCTTTTTTTCGGCGGACTGGCCCGCTTTACACGTACATGCTTAGCCCCACGGGGGTTGATTGCAGGTGGTTTCGCCACCTCCCCGGACGGGTTTCGCCCGAGCGAGTCAAGGGATTTGGCTCGTGAAAGGCAATATCCTGGTTCCTTTGTTCCGGTTGACTCTTATTAAACTTGGTGGCTCCCAGCCATCCCCTTAGCCTTTTAGCTTTTTAGTGTGTGGTGGTAGTTTCCATTTAACCCACTAAAAGTTAAACTTTTAGCGGCGGATCTAAGGGCAGCCCAGTAAAGTAGAAGATGCAGAATGGCATCCCAATTCGGCAACCAATAGGGGTGTAGTGGGAGATTGGGTTTCCTCACCTGCTTCCCGGCAGTGACAAACCCATTTTCTACGGCCCTGACCCATGTAACCCATTTGAAGAAATGGGTCCAGGTGTTGAGACATGGTATTGTGGCATTTCTCGCTTCGCATGGGATCCCGGGCAACGAGGATGTTTTAGTTGTTTTTTCTTCACCCGGCTGACTAAAGGCAGCCTGCTTCGCGGTTGCTGGTTTCAAAATGTTCCGAAAAGCCAGTGTGGAGCCGGATATGTCCAGAAGTGCTCCCAAGAAGGGTCATTCCCATGACTACTTCATTTCTTCGAAGGAGGCACCCTAGGTATCAAAAAACAAAAGGCTTTAAAAGCCCCTTGTCTAAGCGTGTGATTTGAGGGTACCCTTATCAGGCTGGTCCAAAGGAAACCAATAAGAGAGACAACCGTTTGGGGGGTCCAAGTCCCTGTTGTGACACATAGCCACATCCAATTCCCAATGCAATCCAAGCACCCTTAATCACTCACTCACAACCGACCCTTCCATATTACAAGTAAACCAACCATACTGAAACGCAAAACCACGTCAAACAGGGCAGCGGCATGCATCAGACACCAATCGAACTCATCAAATTACCCTCATTTCTGCAGCGGCCGGAAGATGCTTTCACTGAAAGGGGAGGTGCCCTTGTTCCAACCCAACCTCTGCATGTCCAAGAAACCAACGCCAACAACAAACCCAGAAACCAAAAGACCCTGTAAAGATACCTCTAGCCGGGAGTTTTGTTTATTTCCCCCCCCCTGTCCAACAAATCAGTCAATTGCTACACTGCCCAAAGGTGACTTCAACATTTCGGGAAGGGGTTGGTTATGGAGGTTTTGTTTAGCGTTGGTTTTGGGTTGCCTTAGGATGGGCTTACTGTGGTTTCGAGTTGGTTTAAGGTCACTTCAGGGTTGATTTGGGCTTTGTTTCGGCTTTAGGGTTGGTTTCAGTTGGCTTAGGGTAGTCTCAAAGTTGTTTTAGGGTCGGTCTAGGGTTGGATTAGGTTTGTGATGGGATTAGATGAATGGCTTTAGGGTCGGCTGAGTGTGGTTTGAGTCTAGTGCAGGCTTGCTTTGGAATTGGTTTAGGGTTGGCTTTTGGTGGGTCTGGGGTAGGTTTAGGGTGGGTGGGGTTGGGCTTGCTTTAAGGTTGGCTTAGGGTGGGTGTAGGTGAGTTTCGGGTTGTTTTTGGTTTAGGGTTTAGGGTGGGTGTAGGCTTGGTTTAGGGGGGTGGTTTACGCCTATTCGGCGACATCCCCATAGGCCCGCACGGAAAGCTGGCGATGTCGCCTCGGCCCAAAGCCGCCCGCGCCCGGAAAGCGGCCGTTAGGCTTATGAAACTCCAAGCAAGGCACCGGCTTGCGAGAGTGGGTTCACAGCTTCGGAAGCACTCGGGGCTCCACGCTTTCACTGCTCCAAGGTAGAAATCGAACCTCAGGGGTTGTCCTTGGGTCATGAATCATGAACCACGCCTGGGTCTATGTCTACCTTGGGGTAGTCAAAAAGTGGAGCCCTTGTCTACAATCGCAACAAGGGCATCATAGCCATAGCAACTGCAAATCACAGCAACAGACACAACAAGCGCGGCAAGCCACTGCCACAACAATACCCTCGACTAGCATTGCGCATGCAATACTTCGCGTAATGTTCACTCCTGACCTCCCAATCGGAGCTTCATCTTAGCTGTTCTGGGCAACTGCATTTCCACAACAGGCAGGCACCCAAAAGCAATAGAAGTCAGCACTTGTTTACGATTGATGGGCTTTAGAGAGGGCAACTTCTTCAGGGTTAGTGTTAGTGAATTATGTTGAATCGCCTATAGAATCCCACCCTTTTTTTTTTCGTGACGGAAAAGAGGGCAACTGGTTCCGGGTTAATGAAGTATGTTGAATCGCCTGAAATTTGTTGACCAACATATGCACCTGCGCTACCTGCAAGCCTCCGCGTCAGACGTTCCAATGCTGAAGACATGGGCTGGCGCGCGTCTTGGGCCAACCGGTGCAGCTTGAACTTGCATGTTGAAGCTCAACTTCCATTTGCTGAAAGATAGAGTTGTTTCCGTGTTGCTTCCATTTGTTTAAGAATATTTTCCCCTGTTGGTTTAAAAGGAATCGAACACTACTGGCAATATTTTATTTTTTTTTCCAGGGGGTTTAAGCAAATGGAAGGTTGGTTTTTAAGGGAATCTGTCACTGCTAGAGCTATGTTTATTTGTTTGAGGTGGCTTAAGCAAATGGAAGTCAATGTCTTTAATCTGGAGTTGTGTCTCTTGGGGGTAAGTGCCCTGCTTGCGGCAGCTTGATAGGGAAGCAAACAAAGCATGGCGAAAGTTTTGTGTAGGGTGGAGCTCAACTCTAGCCTTAGGGCCTTGTGGCATCTCCTGGCAAGGTTGGTTTGCAGAAACCCTGCATCTAAAGCCCTCATTGGGTATTTGGCTAGTTTCCTGGAGGATTTTGGTGGAGGTTGTTTCTTACTGAAGCAGGGGGCCTTGACCCCAGGTGTTTTCCCCGCTTGAAAATTGAAACGGGGTTCTTAGACTGAAGCCTTGACCCCACGTTGCTTCCGAAACAATTTTCCTCAAACAGCGCATGGACCCTTTCGCCTCAGGCTTCTTTTGGTGCGGCGACCCAGGTCTTTCGGTTCGGTCGGGTGTCTAGACATTTGCCGTAGTCCTTGGTGGAATCCCACGAGCAGCTTTCTGGGGTCTCCTCCAGGGTTCTCTTTGATTTGAGGCTGGGATCCAATATGCGACACACAGAGAAACTCTGATTCAGATGGGTTCTCCTCCGAAATGTTCTTTTATTTTGGGGTAGACTCAATATGGAAGAGGCACCGAAACTATGATTTACTGTGTGCCCCGAATGTGGGCCAACACTGAACTCGAAGTTATGGTTGCCATGGGGTCGCCCCCAAAGGGTGGATTCCCTGGATTTCTCTCACAATAAGCTGGAATAGGCCAAATGAGTTGGCTTCAAATGTACCGTAATTTACTTTACCGAGGAGTGTTTCATGCGCGTGTTCCTTTTTTTCCTTTTCAACTATCGATACGGAACGTCCAAGAAAACGATGCCCCCCATCCTGAGAAAAACACGGCTGAAAAACGATCCGGGACGTCCTAGCGTTGAAATGAATACAAGAGAAGCAATTCCGACGCTGGCTCATATGAGGCCCTGATAAAATGATTAGTTGGTGGGCCACGTTTGGGTGACCCTAGGCAACATGACGTTTCCTCCTGTTTGTTTTTGGGTAGCTTCATTCCTCAGAACGGCCCTTACAGCGCAAAACGCTGTGCTTCGTGACCGTCGGGCTGAAACAACCTTACCCATAGTGAAGCTTCCCTGCAAGCGACTTATGGCAGGTGGGCATGCCCAGTTGCATGCCAAGCCCCTCCTCAACCTTTCCGAGTTTTGGCCCAGCGCCCAACCCCCTCACCCCGTAGGGCTCATGCGGTTGAGCTGCGTTTCCGGAGTGCGCCCGGCCTCTCGTGTGAGGCCCTTGTGGTCTGCACGGCGGCAAGCGATGTCAACCAATCGCCCGAAAGCCGAGAGGGCGACAGGTGTCCCAGGCTTGGGTTCCCCAAAGGATGCAGTTGGGCCAGTGAAGATTTTGTTGCATTTTGCCAAGGGATGTTAGGACTTTAACTTTTTGCCAACTGATGGGCTTTCCGAATTAAACTACTAAAAGTTAAACTTTTAGCAAGGGAGCGGAAAGCAACCGAGAAGAGATGGGTGTGAATTCTATGATGGGGGATTCATATCCACCAGCCACGTTTTGAGGTGGGTCGAGAAAAGAAAAGAACAACGCAGCTGCTCGTTATGTAAGGGCCATCCCTGAACTTGCTGCGCAGGCCCAGCCATTGCACACCGATGCTGGGGAAAAAAGGATGCCCCCCCAGCCATTCAGACACAACTGGTCCCAGCAGCCTTGGGTTCTTGTGAGTGGCAGCCAGTGTTCTTGAGAAGCTATACGAGGCACGGAGAAAGCCCGCAATTGTTGCTAAACCGAGGTTCCAGAGTCGGTGACTTACAGGACCCGAACCGAGACTCAAACCAACTCTCAGTCGACTCCTTTCTGATACTCATGCTTGCCAAATCCAGCCAACTAACCAGTGGCACACCGTGCCTTTGGCTTGCTAGTTTTGAAACATGCGAAACATGCGCCGCTGCCGCTGCCAGTTTTTGCCGATACGTGTTGCGTGGGCCGCGCCAACGGCTTAGTTCACACTAAGTACTCGTAGCCTCAAAGACATCTAGGGAAGCCTGCGAGAAGGTTACAGTACAAAGGTTGACCGCGGAGTGTTGGTTTCAGCCCAGGTGGTTCCCTATTAACCCCTCATGGCCTCATAGCCAAATTACCAAGGCAGCAGCTGATTTAGGAACGCGCCCCCGTGTAAAGGATGTTGGTCTATGTATTCTTTGAGGATCCCTGTAGCTCCATTGTTATTGTTGGGGCCGTGTTTGGCCAATTCGTCCAGGGCTCTACCCTAGGCTCTGGTTTGGCAAGGGTTTATGTGAATCCAGAGGTGCAAGCCGTAGTCATCCGATGTCTTCCATGGTGAAAGCTATGGGTTCCCCGCCACTCCATCATCTCGGCCTAAACAGTTCGCTGTTTGAGAGGGCGGTCGTCCATCCTCAACATACTGCGGATGGACGAAATCCTGCACCACCTCGGCTAATTCAATTCCCCAAATACGAACAAGCAATGGTTTCCCATGGCTTCTTAGGTGGTGCAGGGTTTCGTCCATCCATAGGATCGCAGAGGGTGACTGATAGCGATCCCGGTTTCCAGTTGCGGGGAAGACTTGCATCGTGAGCCATGGGCTTAACCCCATCCCATCATCCCATCCGGCGGTGCGGTGTTCCCTCGGATCGTCGAGATTTAATGGCCCGACAGTGGCCCACGCATTGGTATCACCCAATGGGAAGGCGGCAGTCCATGTTCGGTTTTGAACACCAGACAGGACAACCACCCCCTTTTCGGGGTCTATGTCCCGCGGACACACACATGTCTTCACTGTTCTTGGCAAGTTGCTTGGCTCTTTGATTCTGTTCCTCTTTTTTTCCTCTGCGGGGCTGCAGAAAAACATTTTTTGGTGCTTGTACTCCAAGAGTTGTTGAATGTTTGCAGGAGGGCTTCAATGGAATCGGGGCATGGGATGTACATGGAAGCTGGAAGGGTTTTGGACGACCACAGCCACTTCGGACTAAGACAGGGCGAGTAAAAACACAAAAGCCTTTAACCCACCCACCATCCATGATGGTTAACAAAGAGGGTTCCAATTTCCATGTGTGCACAGAACCCCCAGGGTGTTTGGGGCATCCCCCATTTTGACCTAAACCCATTTGTAGGCAGCGGAGCACCCTGGGGACCTCCATGTTTTCATCCAGCCCAAGGTCCAACTTCAACTGGACAGCGGCACAACAGCTGCGCAAGGTGCGCGTTTGGGTTGCCCGCTGACCTTCTTAAGCATTGCTGGTGCCATAGGTAGGTAATGTGGGAATGAACCGGAAGGTGATCCTCGAAGAAAAGAAACCACTAGTTGGATTGTTTAGACGGCTCATTCCCTCATTCCAAGTTATTTGACCTTTGGGGTATCCTTCATGCTGCCTGTCAAGCCACACGTTTAGCTTTTTGCAGGGGGCCGTCTAAGCCTGGTCTTTTGCGGAGAAGTTGGACGACTTGCTGGCTTTTTGCTGGTTCTCTTTCGGATTTCTTCAGAACCCCGGGCCAGTTTTCACACAGCCAAGTGGCCTATTTGCTGCTGCGAATGTTGGCCTCTGCTGCGAACATGTGTTTGTTGGTAGGTTGTTGTCTGATTTGTTCAAGAAGGCCCAAGTTCCAACCTGGCCTGACTATGTATGTCAACATCATCTTCTGAGTCGCTCTTGCGAGTGGCATTGAAAAACGGCTCGGTGCACGCACACACACAAACGAACCAAAACTACACCTGAAACTTCGGGCCAATCTAAGCTGACACATCTCGACCTGGGCTGAGGAGCCATCCAAAGAAGATCCGAAAAGGTGCCTTTAGCTCAGAACCAAGCACTCAGATGGCTTCCCCTTCAAGCAATCCCCAATTGAGTGCCAACTCCAAAAATCGGAGCTATGCCATGCATGGGAGGGAACCTTGGCGAAGACTGCTCGGGGGTTTGAGGGGTGGCATTTGCGGTGACACGGGTGTGCGTGCGTCTGTGTTCTTTTGCCTGGTACCCATGTTGGGCTTGTTTTCAAAGGGAGGCCAATGGGAAGCCGAAGATCATTTTGGGCTTTTAGATCCATTTGAACACAAGCCACATGGGTGTCTCGACGTTGCTTTTGCCTTTGGTGTCCTTTTGAAGCAGACCCACAAACGGTGCATCCTGGCTTATCCCATTCTGGTGTGTCGCTTGGGAGGGAAATGGGAACCAAAAGGACCACCGAAGCCAGTTTGGATTTTTTCTTTGGGGGGGGGGTTTCCGATACGACGTAAATAAACATATTTTGAGAGAGGGTTCCAAGAAGGTTCATTTGTTATTTCCAGATCCTTTCGGTCAAGGGTGTTGTTTTAGCAATGGTAGCGATCCAACATGCTCAGGTCATCGCAGAACAGCATGAGGACCGCGCGGCCGGCTAGGGTGGATTCCCATTGGCAAAAGCATCCACATCCATTTGGGGCGGAGGCTCAGCTCTAGCCAGCGGATCCCTGTTACCACTGTAATAGGTAGCCAGCCATTTTGCTTTTGGATTTTTAAGGGTTCCCGTGGTTGCCCGCCATGCAGAAATGGAAACAGCGGGCTGTAGAGCGAGGCAATTTTGCCAGATCATCTCCACCTAGACCAGGCAGAAATGCCTCAGGACACGCTGGCATGGGACGAATGCCAGTATTCGCGCGCGGATTTCTTACAGCATTGCCACAGCAATGAGAGATTCTACAAATATCAATGGACGGAAGCGATGGTCTACCCCATCTATCTGGCGGGCAAGGAGTCCTGGGTGCGGATCTCGGTCGTGAATGATGAGGCTACCTTATGTCCGGGACTGGTTGGGTCGTCGGAGATGGCGAAATGGGAGATGGTCTTCGACTTCGGCCAGCACCTGATGAAGATCCACAATCGGTGGCGCGACCTGGAGCTGTCGGAGACGCAACATTCCTTGAAGCTTTTCTTCAAATTTCCCAACGTTTGGGAATACTGTCTTCGAACTGCGGGGGGGGGGGAGGGGTTGTTCTTTCCAGCGCTTTGTTTTTGTTTGGTTGGGGGGTTAAACCTGTTGGTTGACTTGTCAATAAGTTGTCGTCATCCCCATTCCCAGATTAATTTATAGGCAGGGGAGTCCACATCCTTTGGCCCCCCTGCTTAGTGCTACATGCCATTCGCACTTTCCCTTGGTGGGCACATGGTGGCATGGCATGCAAGACCAGTGGAAACCCATATGATCTCCAGGACAGGCGGGAAGGTTTGGGGTGGGCGTTCCAACTGTTTGTGTTTTGTTTTGGACGCTAGGTGTTACACGTTTTCGCTGGGGGACGGTCCAGGTGATTCTTGTGAGGCATCTTGGCGCCTCCTGCTTGTGTTTTTCCAGATGCGTGTAGGATCAGTCACCTTAGATGGCATTTTGGAAAGGAAGCCACAAGAGAATCATTTTGCTGGTGCGCAGCAGGGAATGAGGGAATGACCCCTATAAACCATCCCTTGTGGCTTCCTTTAAGGAAATTTGCAGGTTCATTCCCTCATTCCGTACTGAGCATCAGCAAGTCATTTGTAGAAAGGTTTTAGGACAGCTTCCAACACGCCTCCGGATTTGTGCTTTTTTGGAGGGTGTCATGTACAAGCCCCTCCTCCAAGTGTGACTTACAGGTAGGCTTTCTTCAGGAATGGTTGTGGTTCTGAGTTGAAGGAAATACGGGGCTTTTCTGGTGTGGAAGTTGGAACAAATGTGTGCAAGTTTTCGGGCCAATGTAAGTTATATTTTCAGACGTCACCCCCAGTCCATGACTTCGATGCTCCCCACGCCTGGATGTGCAGGACGGCCAGGTCCCCTCTGCGGGCGCCCGGCGGGAGCCCGGACGCTAAGCGCTTGGCGGATTGGATGCTTCCTTGCGGGCAGGGTTGAGTGCTACATGTCTGACAAAACCCAGGGGCTCAACTCAATTTCCCATGTCTTCTTAAAAATGCGTAGGTTTACTGTGGCTTGTGTCCTTTGTAATTGGATCATTTGCGCGAAATGAGCCATTGGATTTCACTGGCAACTGTAGTTTCCAATAAGTCGGTCGCATCAGTGTTTGCCATGGGCACGTCGAAGGCGGGTCTCTTTTAAAGGTAGTCAAGGCAGATGCGTCGTCAACGGGAAGACTGTAAACTTGGGAAGGCGAAACGCACAATTAAAAGGCTCGGTTTCCCCGATTTGGTCCATTCAAGGTTCCTTAAATGGATGATCATGTTTCTTCCAGGTCCTTCCTTTCTGGCTGGTTTGTTCGGCCTTTGGACTTGCAGTTTTTGGTTGAAAGGGATGTTCCGTTGTTGCGGAGAGGTTGTTGCAGCAACCAAGTTTCTGACCAAATTGACAGAGGACATGATGCTCCGATCACAAAGCTAAGGCAACCGGCACTAGTTTTCCAACCCACTAGGCGTCTCAGGATTTCGTCCATCCACAATATCATTTGGGTTCCCTAAGGTGGGGGGCTGGTTTCCCAATCCTGGTTTCTCCTCAATTCAGGCACGGAGAAGGCTGTCCCTTGAAAATCGGACGGAACGGGTGAATGATGACCAACATGTTTTTCTCACTCCCTGAGTTCATGGTCCATCAGGATGTGAGTTTTCACTTGGTGGTTCCCGGCCATCCCCTTAGCTTTTTAGCTTTTAGGGTTTAATTAGTGGTAGTTTCCATTTTTGCCACTGAAAGTTAAACTTTTAGCAGGGGATCTGAGGGCAGCCCAGTTCTTCTCCCGGCTCAATTTTTGTTTGTCCCCTTGCTGGCAAAATGGCAACGCCCAATTTCGGCTTCCCTAACTTAAGTGCTATTGGGTTGGCTTTTTAGACTTTCACTTTTTGGGAAAATCATAAAGTTTTCCACTAATCCCACAAAAAGCTAACTTTTTTGCAGTTTAACTTTTTGTAGGGGAGGCAACAGCATCCGAGAGAAGGGCTAGCTACCAATCAGGGGTCAGGTGACCACTTGGCTGAGCCGAACTTGGCCCAGGCCGCCCATTTTAGTCCGCGAGCACGGGCGCAGCGCCGAGCCCTTCGGCCGCTTCCGGCGCGAAGTGCCGGCCAGGCGGCGGGACAGGGGCCAGCGGTGGTGTTTTTGAGCATACTCCTGTTTTCTTCCATTTGTTTAAGAATACTACTATGTATTTTCCCCTGTTGGTTTTAAAGGGAATCGATCACTACTGGAATTGTTTTTTTGTATTTTTCCAGGGGGGCTTAAGCAAATGGAAGTTTTGCGGGTTGGCTTAAAGGGAAGCCAAGAAAAAGAACAACACAATTCTTGGCGGTTCTCAAATATTTTGAGACATACCAAAATGTCCTTTAGTGGAGGTTCTCTCATGTTCAGCTTGGGAATTGCGGTACTTTGCCCACATCTATGGAGGGGTGCCCCCATAGAGAACCTTTTCCCGTGTGAGTGCAATGCAAGGGGGAAGAAGGTATGCAGAGGGGAGGCCCCGTCTTTCGCAGCTGCGGATGGGGATGGGAGGGAGGGGCAGCTGCAGAACACAAAATGATGGAATCGTCCTGGGATTTGGACTCCCGTGTTTCCCCATACAGTATGGTTCCAGGCCTTCTCCTGATAGATTCCCACAGATAAACGGACCCCTCCCCCCCATTTGTCACGTTTTCCAGTTGGCGCGGACCATGGCCAGGAAGCCACTTGAAGAGACCCATGGGAAACGCATCTAGGTCCCTCAGTAGTGCCCTTTTACCCTTTTTTGGGCGAGGGTCCCCTACTAAAATAGACAAAACCGAAAAAAATGGTACCCCTATTCTACCCTCTCTACTGGAGGACCTGGGCATACAGCACGCCGCTCCGCTGTCTTTTTCACCAGGCCCCGGAGAAAACGGCCTTTCGGTCGGAATCAGTTCCTTCGGTTGATGCCGGGCCTTTGAGGTGACAAGGTCTAAGTCGGGGATGTCTGAGGTTTGGAGCCCGCAAGAAGCCAAAGCCATGGTTGGCAGGCGTTTTGTGTCTTCTTCTTTTTCTCGGGAGACGTATGCACTTGAGCTGTTGCTGCTTCACATGCTCCAAATGCAGGTGCGATTTCCTCACTGCTGCCCATGTTTCAGCTATGATGCTTAAGTCTCAGTGCCACCCTCCCAAACCCTGTCTGGTGGGTTCCACCGAAAATAATCCTTTCTTGGGGTTTATCTTGTTTTCGGTCGAATTTGTCGAGACGTGCCATGCTCACCTGCCGTTTGGCCCAAAGACCCGCAGGGGTAAGGAGATGGAATTTGCTTCTTGGTGCCATTCATATTTGGCAGCATGGCAAGGCAACCACACCGCTACTTTCACCCAACATTCGACATCGATGCACCAGGTTTCGATGTGAGGTTCGCATGCCGCTTCCAGTTAGTTGTGCAGCCATTGGATCGGGGAGAATGTTGATTAGATTCGAGGCGCTTGAGGCTGTAAGGTTTGGCCCGTTGCCTTGTTCCAACATCTTCTGCATCCTTGAAGCTGAGTCACGCGTTGCCTGAAAAGAAGTGCGCATGAACAGAGGTTGCAAGGGCTAGGAATCGGTCAAGTTTCACGCTGATTTATTAAGACGGTGAGTACCCACTTCCAATCTCCCCCAGGACCTGAGGTGCGCCGAACATTTCTGCTGTGGGCACCCGTCGGTCCATCCGACCGCCCGAGAGAGAGCGAGCCATGGGTCAACAGTGCCCATGCAGAGAGCTGAAGGACGGAGAGTCAAGCGCTACGCTCGACTCAGCTGGTTCTTGTAGAGGGATGGGACTCCTCCCCCAAACAACCAAACCGCCAACCCACCAATCCACCAATCCGCCAAGCCACCACACCACCAATCAAAATCAATTAAAGGGAAGCTGAATACAAGACCCCTGAGTTCCTGGACTTGATGGTCACTTGTCGGGTGTGGACTATTTTAGTGGTAAGCAGAAAGTTTGGTTTTGTTTTTGGCCTATTCACTCAGGAAGTGAGTGTAAAACAGAGTGTTATGGCCAGATTGAACATGAAACCCAAAGGACACCAACCATTGTTTGTTTGCTTTCCTTTGAGGGACAAACTCAATCAGGTTCCAGACCTTCAGTGAGTTGCTTGCTATTAGTTCGGCTTGTTTTGGAGGGGTGGAACTCTGTGAAATCAACTGCATTTTTGCATCTTCTTGCTATGGCCGCTCGGGCCTGGGCTGAATGGGATTTTTTACAACGTCCCTTCAAAACTGAACTGATAAGGCCACCTGGCCCCTGAATTGCTGGACAAAAGCGAGGCTACTCAGATAAAACTCCTCATGAACTCGCCACGTCGGGCTGGGGTTGCAACCCCTTTCTGAACAAGCGGGAGTACTGAGTTGCACTTCCTGTGGAGCACTGCACAAGCTGAGGGTTCTGGGTTTTGAAGCCCTTTGCAGCTGAACACAGATCTTTCTTGCTTCACAAAGAGGGTCACTAGGGATAGAAACAGCCGACCGGCTGAAAAAACGGACGCTGCGCAGATTGCCCCGGGCCCTTGGTAAGACAAATGCTTGGACCCACCCGCTGGCAATCGGGGTGGCTCCTGCCCCTTGCCCCTGCAGCAGGCTCCCTCACCTACATGCGCACCAATATTAACCACCATGTGGGTGAGGGGCCGCACCCAAAATCAGAGGCATATTTTTCAAGGTGGGTTTAACCTCATGACTTTCTAGACATGTAAAAGCCCAAGATTGGTTTGCTGCCCTGCGTCTTTGCAGCAACCTTGTTGTTGTGAACAGTGTACTTTCCTATTAGTTGGCCATGTTGGTTCTCGGTGAATAGACATATTCTTCACCGGGGTGGGCAAATTGCAGTGGGCGCCAGAAGCCGCGAGTGTCTGACTTTCCACCACGTTTTCAAAGATGGGCTTTTGATTGATTTGGTTGATTTGGTTAATTTGGTTGACTGGGTTGACTTGGTAGATTTGGTTGATTTGGTTGATTTGGTTGACTGGGTTGACTTGGTAGGTTTGGTTGATTTGGTTGATTTGGTTGATGTGGTTGACTTGGTTGATTTGGTTGACTGGTTTGACTTGGTAGATTTGGTTGATTTGGTTGATTTGGTTCATTTGGTTCATTTGGTTCATTTGGTTCATTTGGTTGATTTGGTTCATTTGGTTGATTTGGTTGATTTGATTGATTTGGTTGATTTGGTTGATTTGGTTGATTTGGTTGATTTGATTCATTTGATTGATTTGGTTGATTTGGTTGATTTGGTTGATTTGATTGATTTGGTTGATTTAATTGATTTGGTTGATTTAATTGATTTGGTTGATTTGGTTGATTTGGTTGATTTGGTTGATTTGATTGATTTGGTTGATTTGGTTGATTTGGTTGATTTGGTTGATTTGATTGACTTGGTTGACTTGGTTGACTTGGTTGTTTTGGTTGACTTGGTTGATTTGGTTGACATGGTTGTTTTGGTTCATTTGATTCATTTGGTTGATTTGGTTGACTTGGTTGACTTGATTGACTTGGTTGACTTGATTGATTTGGTCGACTTGATGGACTTGGTTGACTTGATTGATTGGGTTGACTTGATTGATTTGGTTGACTTGATGGACTTGGTTGACTTGATTGATGGGTTGATTTGGTTGATTTAATTGATTTGGTTGACTTGGTTGATTTGGTTGATTTGGTTGATTTGGTGGATTTGGTTGATTTGGTTGATTTGGTTGATTTGGTTGATTTGGTTGATTTGGTTGATTTGGTTGATTTGGTTGACTTGGTTGATTTGGTTGATTTGGTTGATTTGGTTGACTGGGTTGATTTGGTTGATTTGGTTGATTTGGTTGATTTGGTTGACTGGGTTGACTTGGTAGGTTTGGTTGATTTGGTTGATTTGGTTGATGTGGTTGACTTGGTTGATTTGGTTGACTGGTTTGACTTGGTGGATTTGGTTGATTTGGTTGATTTGGTTCATTTGGTTCATTTGGTTCATTTGGTTCATTTGGTTCATTTGGTTGATTTGGTTGATTTTATTGATTTGGTTGATTTGGTTGATTTGGTTGATTTGGTTGATTTGGTTGATTTGGTTGATTTGATTGATTTGGTTGATTTGATTGATTTGGTTGATTTGATTGATTTGGTTGATTTAGTTGATTTGATTGATTTGGTTGATTTGGTTGATTTGGTTGATTTGGTTGATTTGGTTGATTTGATTGATTTGGTTGATTTGATTGATTTGGTTGATTTGGTTGATTTGGTTGATTTGGTTGATTTGTTTGTTTTGATTGACTTGGTTGACTTGGTTGACTTGGTTGTTTTGGTTGACTTGGTTGATTTGGTTGACTTGGTTGTTTTGGTTCATTTGATTGAGGTTGATTTGACTGATTTGGTTGATTTGGTTGATTTGGTTGATTTGGTTGATTTGGTTGATTTGGTTGACTTGGTTGACTTGGTTGTTTTGGTTGATTTGCTTGATTTGGTTGATTTGATTGATTTGGTTGATTTGATTGATTTGATTGATTTGGTTGATTTGGTTGATTTGATTGATTTGGTTGATTTGGTTGATTTGGTTGATTTGGTTGGTTTGGTTGATTTGATTGATTTGGTTGATTTGGTTGATTTGGTTGACTTGGTTGACTTGGTTGATTTGGTTGATTTGGTTGATTTGGTTGATTTGGTTGATTTGATTGATTTGGTTGATTTGATTGATTTGGTTGATTTGGTTGATTTGGTTGATTTGCCCATGTTTAGCTGCTGGTTCCATCAACTACCAGGGGAACCCATTTATTTTCAACCGACAAGGGCACCTATGCCCGAAGGCTCCCGAGGCGCTTCGATTCGACAGGACAAAGATCCCCAGGAGGCGCCAGGGGAAGGCGAGGTGCAGGCCGTCGCTGAGGAGCGGCTGGGGTTTGGGCGGAGAGGTTGGGGTTTGGGCGGAGAGGGTGGGGGGAGTTGGGGAAAATTATGGCAAGGAGCCCACGATAAGACGCAAGCCGAGCAAAAAAACAAGTCACCTGAGGATTTGTGAGTTCGAATAAATTGCTGAAGTATAGTCATTTCAGGTCAGGTTGACAGTAGTTGGCTTCGGTATGTATATACCAGGGCCATCATTTTTTCCCAAGGTTTCCTGGCAGAT